TTGTCCCGGCGGGAGCTACCCTCTCCACAGGAGCTGCGCGAGTGGTTTGCTCGGCGCTGGAGCCGTGCTACTGGAGCTGGAGGTGCTGCCGGTGCTGGAGGTTCTGCTTCTGCTGGGGGTGCTGGAGCCACGGGTCCCGGAGGTGCTAGTACTGGAGGTACTGGAGCTGCTGGGCCTGGTGGTACTACTGGTGCTGGAGCCACTGGTGGACCTGGAGCTGGCGGTGCTGCTGGAGTAGGTGCTACTGGTGGTCCTGGAGCCGGAGCTGCTGCGTCTGCCGGTGGTCTTGTTGGCGCTCCTGGAGCTGCTGGAGGTACTACTGGTGCTGGTGGTGCTGCTGGAGTTGGAGCTGACGCTGGGGGTGCTGGTGTTGTCCCTGCTGGTTCTGGAGGTGCTGAGCGGCCGCGGCCGTACTTCGTTCCGCTCCTTGAGCAGGTTCTTGGTCTTCCGCCCTCTTCTGGTCCTGCTCCTTCCTTAAAGTGTCCACCGCCTGTCCAGTCCGAGTCACAGTTACTGCTGGCCTCCCCTCTCCCTGCTCCTTCTCCCTACGCTGGTCCTACTGGAGGTCTTGCTGAGCGTCGTGAGCCTGAGTCGCGTCCTGCGTCACCTGTTCGTACTGCTCGCACTAGTCGTCGTGTTCCACATCAGCGTCCTCCTGCGGTCCCGGGCACGCATCAGATGGCACCGCGTCCTTCCACTGCACCACAGCGTGTCCCTTTGTCGTCTCCTCCAGAGTCCTCTCTTCTTGCTCTTCCTGACCCGGAGTCTGACTCCCTTCGTGCTGCCAGTCCTACTGTCACGCGTTTCCTAGCCACTGCTGTCACTGACCCTTCCTTTGAGTCCGCTGCTGCGTCTGCCTTAGTTGTCGAGCTTGTCGACTTCGCTGCTCACTGTCGTCTCGACTACGCCACTAGTCTTGTTGCTGAGTCTGCGTCTGTCTGTCCTCCGTCCATCGGGGGTGAGTGTGCTCTTAGCACGGACGTCCTTGAGGACAGGCAGGAGGAGTTCCAGTGTTTTGCTGCTGCTTTACCTCATCTCGTTTCCATGCTGCTTGCCCCTGAGGGAGACCCGGATGCACCAGACATCCCGACCCCGCGCTCTTACGCAGAGGCGATAGAGGGTCCCTACTCCTCTCAGTGGCAGGCAGCCATGGACGCCGAGATGGCTTCCTGGAAGTCCACAGGCACCTACGTCGACGAGGTTCCCCCACCTGGGGCGAACATCGTTAGTGGCATGTGGATTTTCAGGGTGAAGCGGCCGCCGGGTTCTCCGCCTGTCTTCAAGGCGCGTTACGTGGCTCGAGGCTTCAGTCAGCGGCAGGGAGTTGACTACTTTCAGACCTTCTCCCCGACCCCGAAGATGACCACTCTTCGGGTTATACTGCACGTCGCTGCTCAGCGTGACTACGAGCTTCACTCCCTTGACTTCAGCACTGCTTTCCTACAGGGCAGCCTGCACGAGGAGATCTGGCTGCGCCGCCCACCTGGCTTCACTGGGTCGTTTCCTCCTGGTACCCAGTGGAGCCTCCGGCGGCCAGTCTACGGTCTCCGCCAGGCGCCCCGTGAGTGGCACGACACACTGAGGACTACGCTTGCGGCTCTTGGGTTTGCTCCTTCTACTGCTGACCCGTCGCTGTTTCTTCGCATCGACACCTTACTGCCGCCGTTCTACATCCTCGTGTACGTCGACGACTTGGTGTTTGCTACAGCTGACACTGCTGGACTCGCCCACGTGAAGTCCGAGCTGCAGAAGAGACACACGTACACAGACCTAGGTGAACTGCGCAGCTATCTTGGCTTGCAGATCACCCGGGACAGAGCACGCCGCACCATTACCCTGACTCAGTCACACATGGTGCAGCAGGTCCTTCAGCGCTTCGACTTCACGTACTCCTCGCCTCAGGCCACTCCTCTGTCTACTCGCCACTCGCTCTCAGCTCTGCCTTCGGATGAGTCCGTAGAGCCGAGTGGCCCGTACCCAGAGCTTGTTGGCTGCCTCATGTACCTGATGACCTGCACTCGACCTGACCTGGCATACCCTCTTAGCATCCTGGTACGCTATGTTGCTCCTGGGAGACACCGACCAGAGCACATGGCTGCCGCGAAGAGAGTGTTGCGCTACCTGTGCAGTACGTTGGGCATGGGGCTCGTGCTTGGAGGGCGGAGTCCAGTGGTCCTCACTAGTCACGCAGACGCGTCTTGGGCTGACGACCTGGCTACTCAGCGGTCGTCACAGGGTTACACCTTCAGCCTTAGTTCCGGTTCTGTCTCGTGGCGGTCTACTTGCTCGTCTTCTGTTCTCAGCTCCAGTTGTGAGGCTGAGATCTACGCAGGGGCCATGGCTGCACAGGAGTTACGCTGGCTCGCCTACCTGCTGACTGACCTGGGAGAGCCGCCTCGTTCTCCTCCAGTTCTGTACGTAGACAACAAGGCCATGCTGGCCTTGTGTCGGGAGCACAGACTGGAGCACAGAATGAAGCACATTGCTCTTCAGTACTTCCTTGCTCGTGAGCTACAGCAGCGTGGTCAGTTACGCCTTGCTTACGTGGCCTCTCAGGCCAACACTGCTGATATCTTCACCAAGGCACTTCAGCCTTGTGATCATCAGCGCTTCTGTACTGTGTTAGGTCTTGTGCCTACTTGGCCTCACTTGCTTACCTCTTGACTTTACTTGTACTGTGATTTATATATATACATACACCTGCATGTGAACTGGCCTTGTGGCCTTTTGAACCTGTGCTCAGAATGTGTGGTGACGTTGTGATCCACCCTGAGCTTGCTTTGCTTTGCTTTGCTTGACTGGTCTTGTGACCCCTTGTTCTCCCCCACTTTGCCTATGGGGGTGTGTCAAACATTAATCACATAGCCTATCTAGGCTGTAGTGGGGTAGACACTATGGGGTACAGTTTCCTAGGGTTTCATATTTGTACCCAACTCATTTTCTTAGTCATTCATTCCTGTTTCTTCACATTAACAGGCCTATTCAACCACGGATACAGTACCGACCCATTTTTCACGACCGGAAATTGACAGCAACTAGCAGAAGCTAAGGGAGTCTATTACGTAAAAACAGGCACCAACCGCATTTGGGTACCCGCGTACTCATTACTGAGGGAACTGTTAGTGCAGGAGGCACACGACGGGATTGCCTCGGGCCACTTCGGGGTAGAAAAATCGCGACAGCAACTGCAGCGGTATTACTACTGGTCGGAGCTGTTGACCGACGTACAACACCACGTGGGCTCGTGTCCTACGTGTCAGGTGATGAAGAGCTCGCGAAAGAGAAAGGCGGGTCAGTTGCAGCCGATTCCACCGCCCGAGCGCGCCTGGCAGCAAGTTACCATGGATTTCGTCACAGGGTTACCTTCGAACCCTGGGAGTAACGACGCAGTTATGGTCGTCGTTGACAGACTGACGAAAATGGATCACTTCGCTGCGTGCAAGAAATCGATCTCAGCCGAAGAAACCGCTCGCCTGTTCATCGCAGCCGTCGTTCGACTGCACGGGATACCAGCTGCGATAATCAGCGACCGCGACACGAAGTTGACCAGCAACTTCTGGAAGAACCTCTGGGAGCAGTTCGGGACCTGACTATAGTTCAGTTCATCGTACCACCCCGAGACCGACGGTCAAACGGAGCGGACCAATCAGACGAGGGAGCAGTTGATTCGGGCCACGTGCGACGACCCGACAACTTGGGAGCAGCAGCTGCCGCTGATCGAGTTCGCCTACAACAACGTCACGTCAGCGACAACGCAGCAGTCCCCGTTTTACCTGAACTACGGGCAAAACCTAACAGTGCCCATGACGCCGAGTCCGGACAACCCAACGCCACGAGCACAGCAATTCGCCGAGATTATGCAAGCTGCCCGCACCAGAGCTGCAGAAGCAATTAAAAAAGCCAACGTCATTGCTAAACGCAACGCTCACCGCCACCGCCGCCCAGTCACGTACCAGTCAGGGGATTACGTACTGCTCGACACACATAACTTAAGACTGCCCGTCGTACCTAAATTACGACCGCGCTACTGTGGACCATTTCAAATCAGCCACATGATCACCCCAGTTACCGCCCACTTACTGTTGACGACGGACCGGTACATCAGCCCATCATTCCACGTCAGCCTGTTTCGCCCTTACATCCCAAGCACGAGCCAAGTGCCTCGTCACAGCCCGCCATCCATGACTCGCCCTGCATCGGAGCCGATCATCGAGCCCGAAAAAATCTAAGCCATCGGATTCGCCACCCCACAGGCATCAAGAGGATCGAGTTCCTCGTTCGCTCGAAGGACCGCACGCCAACCGAGGATAGCTGGATGCCCTTGGCCAACATCTAAAACCACCCTGCCCTGCAAGTGTACCTGCAAGTTTACCCTCTTCAATTTCGCGAAGCACCTGTCAATTCAAGTAATTTGCTTGCGAGCAGCGTTGCACTGCTCCGCTCTTCACGGCGTCAGCTGGGCATTGCGTCGGTGTACGCATACCCTCTTCTTGCACGATGTCTCTATTTCCTTCGCTCCCGGTGCGGACTCATTACATGAGCTCGTGCTGTCAAAATTAGCAAATGCACCTCGTTTTTCGTTATTGCGTGAGTGGTGAAGTAATTTGGCGGAACTAGCTGAAAAGCAGAAGCGAAATTGCTGGCGCCGGCGCCGGTGACGGCGACGGCGACGGTGACGGCGACAACGGAAACAGCGGCTCACGGGATTGCGAACGCCGGGTCTCCTTCACAAAACGCAGCGCTCTCAGCGCGCCGAGCACTACGCCGCGTCAGAAGGAGATGCGCGCTGCGAGTGGAACGTCTGCCTCAGCCCTCGAGCGTGATTCCTGGGCTCGCTTAACGACGTTCGACTTTTTGACGCCCATCTGCCGCAGGAGAAAACGTAGACTACAGACAGCTGTAGCAGTAAAAAAAAAACAAAAAGCATCTAGGATATTGTAGGCGTGCTGTAGTGTAGATGCTAAGAGAAAAAAAAGTGTAATTACGCTGGCTGGTAGATGATGGAGAGCCGTGAGAGAGAAGCGGGAGGCTTCACAGGCGTGGATGCCACGTCTTCCGCGCCTCGCGGCGAATCTCACGGCGAATCTCACGGCGCGTCTCACGGCGGGTCTCGCGGCAGCGATTCGAAGAAATCGAGGAGCGAGTCCAGTGGCGGCAAGGGGCGGAAGGGTCAGAAGCACAAGAAGCAGCGCGATGTTCTGAAAGACGCCCAAGAAGCACAGGAACGACTCAGGCGACTCGCGGCGTCTGGCGGGGGCTCGCTGGCCGCCACTGGATGGGGCGACGAGGGGGGCGACGGCGGGGGCTCGATCGCGGCAACGGGATGGGGCGACGAGGGGGTTGATGGCGCAGGGGGAGGGCAGGGGGACATGCAGGGGGGAATGCAGGGGGGAATGCAGGGGGGGATGCAGGGGGAGGAGCAGGGATTGGCTGTGAGTGAGTTTGTTCCTGTAACGAGTTTTGGTGAGGGTGAGGGTGAGGGTGAGGGTGGAATGGTTGGGGTGGCTGCTGGTTGGGGTTGTCAGGGGGGTGAGTCGTCTGGTGAAGTGGGGTTAGGAGCGGTGGAGATGGGTGGGGAAGTGTATGGAGAGCAGGAAAGTGGGCAGTTTCAGGGCTACGGTGCGAGGCAGTATGGTGGTGAGGCACGGGGGCAGTATTGGGCGGAGGAGCAGGGGCAGGCTTGGGGGGAAGCGCAGTGGCACGAGGGGGAGGCGCAGGGGCATGGGGGGGCAGGGGGAAGGCGCAGCTGGGGTGCGCAAGGGGAAAATTACTGGGGGAGTGGGGGAAATGGGTATGCGGGCGGAGGGGAAGGATCTGATTGGGGCGGTAATGGGGAAGGGGGCAACTGGGGCGGGGGTGAGGGGGAAGGGAGTGGGCGGAGAGGGGGATGGGGAGGAGGATGGGAAAAGGGATGGGGCAGAGGCAAGGGGTGGCGGAGAGGAGGGCGGGGAAGGTGGGGAAACGGTTGGGGGAGGGGACGGGGGCAAGAGGGGGAGTATGGGGGAGGAGGGGGATATGGGGTAGGGGAATATGGGGAAGGAGGAGGGTACGGGGAAGGAGGGGGGTATGGGAGGGGAAGAGGTTATGGAGGCGGAAGGAGGTATGGGGGCGGGGGGGGGTATGGGGGCGGAGGGGGGTATGAGAGCGGAGGTAGGTATGGGGGCGGAAGGGGGTATGGGGGAGAAGAATATTGGGGAGGAGGATTCACTAGGGAGAACGGTGAGCAGCAGGGGTGGCAGGGGCAAGAGGGGGCAACACAAGAGGGGGAAGTGCAGGGGCAATACTATAGGCGGTGGGAAGAGCAGGGAGGGGGACCGGGGAACTGGGGAGGAGTGCGGAATACAGGAAGGGGAAGGGGATGGGTGGAAGGGCAGCAGCAGCAGCATTGGGAGGGCCAGAGGCAAAGTCAAGAGCAGGGGGAAGCACATGGGGGTGGGCAGAGATGGGAGGGTGAGAGACAGTGGAACGACTGGGGGGAGGGGCAGCAGAGGAGGGGTGGGCGGGGGCAGTTTGAGAGAAGGGGAGAGAAGGTGGGATGGGGAGGTGAGGAGCAGAGGGGAGGGTGTGATGGGGATGGATGGGAGGGGCAGGGGGAGAGTGGAGGGGAGTGGCAGTGGCAGAAGCAGCAGAGTGAGTCCTCCATGCCTCATGCCGAGTCTGACGCCTCTGGTTCGGGCCGTTTCAAGCCTGGCCCGGGCAGTGGTCCAGCTGGTGCCAGCTGTCACGACGGCGTTGGTGTGCTCTCAGCCACGGCGGCAGCAGAGGAAGCAGCTCGGAAGGTTCCGGTGTATGATGGGTGGGGGGATATTGTCGGGTGGAGGGATGCTGATGATGATGGTACCACTGCACCCAGGCCTGCTGCTGCAGCTGCTGCTCCTTCTGCTGCTCCTTCTGCTGCTCCTTCTGCTGCTCCCGCTGCTTCGCCTTCTGGTGTTGGCGGTGCTGCTTCTGGCAACACCGCTGCTGCTGGTAATGTCGCTGCTGCTGCAGTAGGTGGTGGTGCCTTTGTGGCGGGGGCTGGAGGTAATACTGCCGCACCTGCTGCTGCACGTGCTACTGTCACACCTGTCACTGTCACACCTCCTTCTGTAACACCTGCCACGGTCACTCCTGCTATTGTTTCTCCTGCTACCATCACACATGCTACTGTCACGCTTGCTGCTGCATCTGCTGCCGTTGCTGATGCTTCCAGTGCTGCTGCTGCTACTGCTGCTGCTGGTCATGGTGACAACAACACGACGACGACCACCGCCAACAACAGCGGCAGCATTGACAGCAGTAGCGCCATCAGCAGCAGCAATGGGGGCTGTGCCATGCGGGCAGGGAGGAGGGGGTGGCAGGTATATGAGCCGCCAATGCAGCGGGACTGTAAGGAAAGGGAGCGAAAGAAGGAGAGGGAGAAGGAAAGGGAGGAGCGGGAGAGGGAGCAGCAGGAGAGGGATGAGAGGGAGAGGCAGAAAGAATTGGAGGAGAGGGCTGAGAGGGAGAGGGAACGGGAAAAGGAGATGGTGGATGCAGCGAGTGCAGTGGGTGCAGCGAGTGTGGGTTGTGCACCAAGTGTAACACTACAGGGCGCCCGGAGTAAAGGAATTCCCATAAGCTCTGCACCTGCTGCTGCTAATGCTGCCCCTGCTGCGGCTGCTACTCCTGCTGTTGCTGATGCTTCTCCTGCTGCTGCCAATGCTGCTATCCCTGCTCCTGCAGCTGCTAGTGTCGCTGCTACAGCAGCTGCTCCTGCTCCTGCTCCTGCTCCTGCTCCTGCTCCTGCTCCTGCTCCTACTGATGCTGCTGCTACATCAATAGCCTCTACAACCTTCTCGCCGTCCGTTCCCAGTCCCGTTGATAGTTCCCCCAGCCAATGGCCATCTGCCACGTTACATCCTGCAGGAAGAGGAGCAGCGGGCGGATGGGGGAGTTGGCGGGGGGGGAGGGGAAGGGGGAGGGGGAGGGGGAGGTGGGGAAGTGGATGGGGACGGGCTGGCTGGGGGGACGACTCGAGAGGCCAAGGGGGTAGTGAGGGCTACAGAGGGAGTGACGGTTGGAGAGGGAGTGAGGAAGGGAGCACCGGCAGTGGTGGTGGTGGTGGGTGGAGCGAGGGTGGTGGTGACGCGTGGGGAGGAGGGGGCTCGGTCGAGTCAGAAGCACGGTTGAGCTCATCACCACAACAACACCCTGCCACGCCACCGCCCTACCTTCTGACGTTCGCGTCCCCGCAGGAAGGTAGGTGGTCCCCGCACCTGCCCCAGCTGAACCTGTCTGGTGATGCCGGCACCTCCCCCCAGGGTCTATCGCAGCAGCAGCTGCCCCAGCAGCAGGTGTCTGTGTGTGCGGTGAAGCCGTCACGCAAGGCACAGCGCACAGAGGAGTGGTTGAGAGAGGCCGCCGCTGCTGCTGCTGTAGGTGCTGATGGTGCTGAGGGTTTGGACGATTGCAGTGCCGCTGCTGAAACACATGATGCTACTTCTGCTGCTGCTGCTGCTGCAGCTGCTCCGACTGTTGGTGGTGTTGGTGAACAAGCAGCAGAGGAAGCAGCTCGAGAGGACTCCGAAGCCGCAGGTCCTGCTGCAGCAGCTGCTGCTGCCCGTGCTACAGCGACTTTTGAGGTGCCTCAAAAGCAGGACTCTGAAGCTGCAGGTCCTGCTGCAGCAGCTGCTGCTGCCCGTGCGACAGAGGCAGATGGGAGCTTGGCGGAAAGGGATGGGAGGGCAGAGGGGATTGCAGCTGCTCCAGCTGCAGCAGATTCCCGAGCGGCGGCAGATTCCCGGGCGGCAGCAGATTCCCGGGCGGCAGCAGATTCCTGGGCGGCAGATGGCAGGGATGGTGGTGGGTCTGAAGGAGCAGGGTTGGAGTTTGAAACAGCAGAGGGAACGACAAGAGGAGGCAACAAGGAAGGGTTTGGCAGCACAGAGGAAGGAGAGCAAGGGGGAGTAGAGGAACGATGGGAGAAGGGAGAGGAGGAGGGAGGGGAGGGGAGAGCGGAAGGAGGGGAGGAGAGGGAGGAGGAGGAGGCAGGGGAAGAACAACGGGTGGAAGAAGGAGAGGAGGCAGGAGGCAATGGCGCATACCTTGACCTGCCATCCAACACGTGTTCTTTCTCGGATGGCGGCGACGGCTTTGAATCGGATGTGGACAGCGAGGAGGAGATGGAGTCGCTGTTTCTCGACAGCACTCTGGCAGATGACTGGCCGCTCTATGGTGTCGGCATGGCGGGATTTGCAGGCTGTGGGGCAGGAGCGGAAGCAAAGGGAGGACGGAGGACGTCCACTCAGGTACGTGAGCTGTCGAAGTTGAACAGGTAGACTGCGGAGGACTTATTTCCATCAAATCTTGCTGTTTAGGACAGAGAAACAAACCCCATGCAATGATAGTGGAAAGGAACCTGGTGCCGCGCTAGCTTAGAACGTTTCTTAGAGAGCCAGTGTAGAACGTTTCATCAGGTACGTTGGCTTCTTGTGCAGTACACAGCAGTGCACGTGATTAGAGTGAAGACAGCAGTGCACGTGATTAGAGTGAAGACAGCAGTGCACGTGATTAGAGTGAAGACAGCAGTGCACGTGATTAGAGTGAAGACAGCAGTGCACGTGATTAGAGTGAAGACAGCAGTGCACGTGATTAGAGTGAAGACAGCAGTGCACGTGATTAGAGTGAAGACAGCAGTGCACGTGATTAGAGTGAAGACAGCAGTGCACGTGATTAGAGTGAAGACAGCAGTGCACGTGATTAGAGTGAAGACAGCAGTGCACGTGATTAGAGTGAAGACAGCAGTGCACGTGATTAGAGTGAAGACAGCAGTGCACGTGAGTAGAGTGAAGACAGCAGTGCACGTGATTAGAGTGAAGACAGCAGTGCACGTGATTAGAGTGAAGACAGCAGTGCACGTGATTAGAGTGAAGACAGCAGTGCACGTGATTAGAGTGAAGACAGCACTTCTTGAGAGTCTCAAACCTTCACTCTTATCACGCAGTAGACAGCACTGCATCTCCTGACTTGCCATCCAACACGTGTTCCTACTCAGATAATGGCGAGGTATTTGACTCGGGAGTGGACAGTGAGGAGGAGTTGGAGTCTTTGGTTTGATTCTTGACAGCACACTGGCAGATGACTGGCCGCTGTGGCACCAGCTTGGGGAAAGCATCTCCACTCACACCTCCCTTCCCACCACCTCCCTTTTCTTACCTCCCTGCTCCTCTCCCTCCAGCTACCAGAGCCCATTCGCCGCTTCCTTCAGGACTTGGACAGCCTCTCGCCTTCCGAGTGGCGCAGTAACAACAGCAACCGGCGCAAGGGCTGCAGAAGCCTCTTCCTTCTCCCCTCCCCTTTCCTTCCATGCTTCCCTTACCCCTTCCCCCTCCCACCTTCCTCCAGCTACCCGAGCCCGCTCACCGGTTCCTTCAGGACTTTGAACAGCCTCTCACTATCCAAGTGCCGCAGCAGCAACAGCAACAGGTACCAGCGCAAGGGGTGGCAAAACCTACTCCCCTCCCCCATTCCCCCTCTCCCTCCAGCTACCCGAGCCCATTCGCCGGTTCCTTCAGGAATTTGACAGCCTCTCTCCGTCCGAATGGCGTAACAACAGCAGCAAATACCGGCGCAAGGGCTGGCAGCAGCAGCAGCAGCAGCAGCAGCAGCAGCAGCAGAGGCAGAGGCAGAGGCAGTTCAAGTGCCCGGTTTGTGCTGGCGGGAAGGGCGAGACAGAGTGGTGGGACGGCGTGCGGGCGCTCCTGCAGCACTCGCTGACCATCAGGAGTCGGAGGATGAAGGAGCACCGCACCTTTGCTGCCGCTCTCGGGGAAAGGATGAAGGATAAGGGCGCGGGGCTGGTGATGCTTGGCAGGGGAGCGGTTGGAGGGGATACGGGGGGTGGAAGGGGAGGGGGAGAAAGGGGGAGGGGAGTGGGAAGTGGAGGGGAGGGGTGGAGTGTGGAGGGAGGAGGGATGCGGAGATGTGCGGCAGCAACAGTTGTCGCACCAGCAGCATCACCATCACCACCGCTGACAGCGTTATCAGGGGGAGCAGCATCGGTGCTTCTGGGGAGTCTCCCGGTGAATCAGTGGCAGGGGTTGGGGGGCGCAAGGGCGAAGGGGGGGAAGCGGGGCAATGAAAACGTGGTGTGGCCGCCAGTGGTGGTGGTGCGCAACACACACCTGTGTCCGGACGAGGATGGAATGGTGAGGATCAAGTAGAGTGGGATGCGGTGGAATGTGGTGGGATGTGGTGTGTTCGGAATATGAGACAGAGCGTGGAGTGGTGTGGCCGCCTTTGGTGGTGGTGCGCAACACAGACTTGTGCTACACAGACTTGTGCTACACAGACTTGTGCTACACAGACTTGTGCTACACAGACTTGTGCTACACAGACTTGTGCCACACAGACTTGTGCTACACAGACTTGTGCTCGGACAAAGATGGAATGGTGGGATACACATGGAGTGGGATGTGGTTGGGATGTGGTGGGATGTGGTTGGGATGTGGTGGGATGTGGTTGGAATGTGGTGGGATGTGGTTGGAATGTGGTGGGATGTGGTTGGAATGTGGTGGGATGTGGTTGGGATGTGGTGGGATGTGGTTGGAATGTGGTGGGATGTGGTTGGAATGTGGTGGGATGTGGTTGGGATGTGGTGGGATGTGGTTGGAATGTGGTGGGATGTGGTTGGAATGTGGTGGGGTGTGGTTGGGATATGGTGGTATGCGGTCAATACGGTGGGGTGCGGCATGTTCGGAGTGTGAGCGAGACAAAGCATCATTAGCGAATGGAGCTGCGAAGGTCGATCTAAGAGTGCTGTGGCGCATCTCAGTTACTCCAGGTGGAATCTTCTTTTCTGAGAATTCTCAAAATACTGCAGGTGTTCTCTGACAGAGTCCTGTTTTGACAGAGTCGTGTTTTGAGTCGAATCAAAACACGAATTCTCGAAATACTGCACTGCAGGTGTTTTCTGACAGATTTGAAACTCCCCTCTCCCACTCCTCTCCCCTCCCATTAATTTGTATCTCACAAGGCAGAGTTGAATTTCGACACATACTCCTCTCCCTCGCCTCTTGTCCCATGCTCTCCTTCTCTCTTCATGTGTCTCTCATGCTCCTCTGTTCCACTCTCTTCTCTCCCTTTCCTCCCCTAGTGGGGGGACATGGGCAGCTTGGACGAATGAGCCCGCTCCCCTCCTCTTAACCCAACACGTCCCTGAATCAACCCTCCCCTCGCCTCTCCCCCTTTTTTCCCCCTTTCTCTCCTCATTCTCTCCCCTTATTCTCCCCTGTCTCTCCCCATTTTCTCCCCCGTCTCTCCCCCTTCTCCCCTCCTTTTTCCCCCGTCTCTCCCCCTTCTCTCCCCCTTCTCCCCCCCTTTTTCCCCCGTCTCTCCCCCCCCCTCCCACAGTGGGTGGGCATGGGCAGCTTGGAGCTCCGCCAGCAGTTCCCGGACTGCAACCTGATCACCAAGGCCAAGAACGCCTACGGGCCGCAGGTAGGGGAGAAAGGAGACAGGGGGTCAGGAAGAGAGGGGTATGTGTTGTGCGGTGCGGTGCGGTGCGGTGCAGCTTGGAGCTCCGCCAGCAGTTCCCGGACTGCAACCTGATCACCAAGGCCAAGAACGCCTATGGGCCGCAGGTAGGGGAGACATTCGCGTATGGGTTGCATCGCAGGTATGAAGACTGATGTGGGCTGCAGGTATGAAGACTGATGTGGGCTGCAGGTATGAAGACTGATGTGGGCTGCAGGTATGAAGACTGATGTGGGCTGCAGGTATGAAGACTGATGTGGGCTGCAGGTATGAAGACTGATGTGGGCTGCAGGTATGAAGACTGATGTGGGCTGCAGGTATGAAGACTGATGTGGGCTGCAGGTATGAAGACTGATGTGGGCTGCAGGTATGAAGACTGATGTGGGCTGCAGGTTTGAAGACTGATGTGGGCTGCAGGTATGAAGACTGATGTGGGCTGCAGGTATGGCCGTCGGTACGGGGCTGTGCGGTGCGGTGCTGCCTCTGCTTTCCTTCCAGGGCCACAGGGGAGTAAGCGTGTTGGTCTTTGAAGCGTCAGTGGATGGGCTGCTGCAGGAGGAGCAGCTGTGGGAGCTCTTTCCCGTCACGCACCCGTTCCATTCTAACCCCTTGACCCCCCTCCCCTTTTCCCCTCCCCTTTTCCCCTCCCCATCTCCCCCCAGGGCCACCGTTGAGTAAGCGTGCTGGTCTTTGAAACGTCAGTGGACGGGCTGCTTCAAGCGGAGCAGCTCTGCGAGCTCTTCCCTCCTCTCAACCTTCTTGCCCCTTAAATAGCCTCTTGAAATCCCACCCATGACTCCCAGGGCCACCGGGGAGTGAGTGTGCTGGTCTTTGAGGCGTCAGTGGACGGGCTGCTCCAAGCAGAGCAGCTGTGCGACATCTTGCCTCTCACCCTTTCCAAGATCCAACTCCAACTCCTTCAACTCCCCTCCCCTTCCTCCTTTTAGGGCCATCGGGGAGTGAGTGTGTTGGTGTTCGAGGCGTCAGTAGACGGGCTGCTGCAAGCAGAGCAGCTGTGCGAGCTCTTTCAGGCGGACGGCAGGGGGCGGCAGGGCTGGATCCGCCGGACGGCAGCCTCGCTAGTGGACAAAAGTGGCAAGCGAAACCTGTTTGCTTACATGGCACAGGAGGGTGACGTGGCAGAGTTCAATAGGCACAGCAAAGGTGGGTATGGTTTGGGGGGATGATGGGGCATGGGGGGGAATGAAGGGGCATGGGGGGGAATGATGGGGAATGAGGGAATGATGGGATGGGGCATGAGGGAAATCTATATCACCATTACAGAAACCATGTCCCCCACCCATGGCTCATGCCTCATGGGTTATGGCACAGGACAAATGGCACATCGCACATAGCACTTGGAGCATGGATCATGGGTGGTCCTGGCTCATGGCATGCCATGTCTCCCATCCATGCGACATGCCACATCCACGCCCCATCGCATGCATGCCCCATTCCTCATCCCATGCATGACCTTTGGCAGGGAAGACGCAGCTGAGAGTGGAGGTGAAGAAGCGGTTCGCAGTGGTGGATGAGCGGTTGAGAGCGGTGCGAGAACGGGCTGCGCAGGCGCCCAATCTGGAGGCCACTGTTGCCATGGTGAGATGAAACTGTTGCCATGGTGAGATGAAACTGTTGCCATGGTGAGATGAAACTGTTGCCATGGTGAGATGAAACTGTTGCCATGGTGAGATGAAACTGTTGCCATGGTGAGATGAAACTGTTGCCATGGTGAGATGAAACTGTTGCCATGGTGAGACGAAACTGTGGCCATGGTGAGATGAAACTGTTGCCATGGTGAGACGAAACTGTGGCCATGGTGAGATGAAACTGTTGCCATGGTGAGATGGAACTGTTACCATGGAACTGCTTCCATGGTAAGGTGAAACTGCTTTCATGGTAAGATGAAACTTCTTCCATGGTAAGATGAAACTGCTGATGGTGAAATATCATTGTTGCAATGGTGGGACTGAATTGCACACGGTGAAATGAAACTGTTGCCACACGGTGAGATGAAACTGTTGCCACGCGGTGAGATGAAACTGTTGCCACGCGGTGAGATGAAACTGTTGCCACACGGTGAGATGAATTGCCACACGGTGAGATGAAACTGTTGCCACACGGTGAGATGAAACTGTTGCCACGCGGTGAGATGAAACTGTTGCCACGCGGTGAGATGAAACTGTTGCCACACGGTGAGATGAAACTGTTGCCACGCGGTGAGATGAAACTGTTGCCACGCGGTGAGATGAAACTGTTGCCACACGGTGAGATGAGATGAGATTAACGTGCTTCTTCTGTTGCCTTTCCCCCTGGTGCTCTCTCGCGCTTCCTCCTCTCGCCTCTGTCACTTTCAAGCATTCCAGCCGTTCTCACTCTCCCCATCTTCCTTTCAAGCTGCCAGCTAATCCCTTCCAAGCTCGAGCATCGTCTTTGAGACGACTATTTCCTCTCTCCCTCTTCCTTCAGCCTTTCCCACTCTCTCCCTTTTCCCTTCAGCCTTTCCCACAGCCGCCGATTTTTTTTCTCTGTTGATTCCCTCCCTGTTCAGATGTCTCATCGAATCGTGGCAGGACAAGTGGCAGCGTCTCAGCTCCAGGCGGAGCTAGAGCAGGCCAAGGAAGCCAACAGGAAGCTTCTGGCGATGCTGGAGGGTGCCTGGCCAAAGTACCCTCCACAGCAGTGGGCAGCTGGTAAAGCAGCCCCAGTCCAGCAGCTGCGGAGTAAAACACAAGTAGTAGTGCAGGATGGATGGGGGGACCAAGTAGTTGTGGCGGATGAAGAGTGTGCAGCTGCTGCAGCTGTAGCAGTGCAGGATGCGTGGGGATGCGAAGCAGCTGTGGCGGGCGAAGATTGCAGTACAGGACAGCAACACACAGAGGAGCAGCAGCGTGTGAGGGAGCAGAAGCATTTGGACGAGCAGGAGCCCGGGAAGGAATCGGGGGAGACTAAGAGCCGGCTACAGATAGAGGAGAGAGCAACTGCAAGGAATGAGGAGGCTTTTGAGGCACGTCTGGTGGAGGTGGCATCTGGGTTGGGCGCGAGTGAGCAAGCCTCGCAGTCAATTGGGAAGGAGCGGGGCGTGAGGGCGTGTCTGGTGAAGGTGCTGTCGCTGTGGCAGGGAGCAGTGGAGGCGGAGCAGAAGCATTGGAATGAGGTACAGTGCGGTTGGATGTAGTGGGATGCAGTGAGACGTGGTGTGTGTGCATGAAAAAGCCGTACGGGTGATGTCTCACTGCTGTCTCCATTCTTTCCGTCCATCCCACCTTTCCCTGCTCTCCCTGTCTCCTTTAACTGTTGGTAGGTGCGTCAATCTCTTACAGTGGCTTTTTGTAATGCTATTCTGGTTCGTTACAACTACTGTATTTCCCCATCCACAGGCAGAGGCGCAAGCCAAGGAGATTATTCCCCCCACCCCCCCCTCCTCTGCTCTTACCCCCTGTTTCCCGTCCCTTCGCTCTCCCGACCAGCTGCACGGCCTGGAGGCGGCATTTGACGTGCAGCAGCAGCAGGTGGAGGGGCGGCTGCAGGTGCTGGCAGGGAGGGAGGTGGAGTGGCGGAGGAGGTGGAGAGGGGCATGCGAGCAGCAGATTCTAGCCATGGCTGCTGCTGCTTCTGCTGCTGGTACTGCTGCCACTGATGGAAACGCTGGGGGAAATGGGGGAACAGAGGCAGAGAGAGACACTGCAGATATCTGGGGCGCGATCAAGCATCTAGAGGGAAGCTGCGAGGATGCAGTGGCGTACAGCCGGGAGGTGCAGAGGCTGCAGCAGGAGCGCCAGAACGCCAAGGCAGAGGCCTTCAGGCACCACAGAGAGAAGGTGCTCGCTCTCGACCGAGCCTTCGAGGCTCAGTGGGCCCAGCTGCTGGCTCGGAAGGAGGCTCAGGTTGGGATGCCGGAGGGTGAGACTGGGTATGGCGAGGGGTGGCTTGATGAGGGCGAAGGTGGGGGAGAAGGGGAGGAGACGGTGTGCGTTAGAGAGGAAAGGTAAGCTGGTGTTTATAGTGGAAGCCAGGTCACTAGTGTTGGTTATGGGAGGTGGAAGTGGGAGTTGAGTTAAGGGGCCTTGATTTCAATCATTCTCTAGTGTGTCACTGGGGAAGCTAGCTGAAATGTTAATATACACTATGCCTAGGGTTGGCTTTGTTGATAAGCTTCCCCCAGTCTAGTCCACCCCATCACACTTCACCAGGACTGCTGAAACGGTAACTTCTGTTTGTATGATTTGTATAGTCCAACCATAGGGAGGATTCAAGGTGGCTTTTGTTCATTTAAAAGAAAGAGGGTGCAGTGCAAAGGGTGTGTGAGATGCTAGGGAAAGCGAAATGCTGTAGGTAGCATTCAAATTCTGAAAGAATAACAGTGGTTACACAATTGTCAAAATCGGCGCAAGTTCTTACGAGACACTTACCGTGAACAACGCTCGACTGTCGATTCCGTGTTTGGATTTGCGAAAATTCACACATGAGAGCCGTCGATGCGCCACGAGACACCTCGCCTCGGCGGCAGAGCAATACCGAACCAAACCCCAGCCTGTCAATTCCCGCCAAAGCCAGTTTGCATGCCTCCCTGTTCCCCGCCAAGGTTACAAACTGGGCTCGGGTGTTCCCTAGGGTGACTTGCGCTTGGGAAATAAATGCAACCACTAGTGGCTCTGACGAGCATCGCCTCAGGTAAAATGGGGTTTCGGCTACCGTGGTTACCAGATCATATTTCGAAACCTAACCGCTCCCAGGCACTTCTGTAGTCAACCCCGCCCATCATGTCGTGTAAAGCTTATTTCCTCACTTCCACTCGCTGGAACCCTCTCTGACGCTCGCGCATTTTCTTTGTCATTGTTTCACCTCCCCAATAGTCTCTAATAACTTCTTAAGTTGACGCAATGGCGGATAGGAGTCAACGAAATACGTTTCCGTTTCTGGGTTCCATAGGCCGATCGCCCTCCGTTGAACCACCGTTTGCTAACTTGCATCAGCAACTGTACCAGCAGCAGCAGCCACAGCAGCAACCTCAGCAGCAATATCCACCTCAGCAGCAGTATCCTCAGCAGCTGCAGCTCCAGCATGGTTATCAGCAACAACAGGAACAGCAGCAACAACTGCAACAGCCGCAGCAGCAGCAGCCGCAGCAGCAGCAGCAGCAGCAGGAACAAGTTATCTATCAGCAGCAGCACAACCAAAATCAGCAGCATCGACAGGGCTATCAACAGCAGCAACAGGGTTACCAGCAGCAAGAGAACCAGCCTCAGCAACAAGCTTACCAACAGCAGCAGCAGCAAGTGTACCATCAACAATTTCAGCAGCAGGAAGGTGGTTACCACAACCAGCAACATCGCCTTCAGGAGGCTTCGGCTGTCGCATGGCCCTCCGTCGCGCAGGAAAGTCCCGCCGACCCACCAGCCAATCACGTGAGGGCGACATCTTCAGGGCCGCAAGCCGCTCCTCTAGACAGAGACGTTGGAGTTCAAGACATTCTCGCCTTCTGGCGTCAGCTACAAGCGAGTATGGGAAACCAGCTCCAAACGAGTCTGTTGAATCAGTTTCAAACGAGTACGACGCCGAACCAGCTGCAAACGAGTCTCACCAGCCAATCGCAAGCAAATCGCGAGCAAGCAAGCGCCGTTGCGTCCGTGGCAGACGCGATATTGGCTGCTTCGCTAGGAAACAGAACAGCGCTATGGACAGATACCGCGACGGAGCTGTTAGCATCTGCAGGGGCGGGAGTTGCCCCAGCGGGCGGAATGGCAGGTGGAGGGGGAGCGACCGGGGCTAGGTTGGTAGCGGCGCAAGAGGGAGCAGAAGCAGCGCCTGCGGCAATGGGGTCCCAGGGGGGCCGAAACATTGCGCCCGGGGCGTTTGTGCCCGTAGGTTTCGCGGAACCTACAGGTACGGGATTAGCAGGCATTGGAATGTCAGGCACGGGATTGGCAAGCTCGGAACTGGCAGGCTCGGAAAGGAGAGGCATGGCAATGGCAGGCATGGGAATGGCGGGAATGGGACGAATGTCAACGGCAGCGACAAGTGAGAGAGGCCTGCATGGGGGGGAGCCGGAGGTCGCGGCGGCAGATCAAGACTTACTCACCGCGTTGAACCGCGGCTTAAACCGCGGGATGAGCCACGAGCCTCCTGTGGGTGCGCGTGCTGGCGTGGGAATGGGTGGCTCTGCCTCTGCCCTTGCTGGTGCAGGCATGGACTCTTCCTCCGCGCCTACAGGCCGCACGGCTGTGTTTCGACCAGCTGACACGCTCGAGGGGCACGGGAGGCATGGGGGAGGCGAGTGGCACGAGCGGAGGGATGGGCGCGAAGGGCGTGGGCGCAGCGTTGGCGCAAGGGATGCGTCATATGGCGGGGCGAGTCACCATGTGACCCCCCCGCAAGTCGTGGCGCAGCAAGCTCTGATACCACAAGTCATGGCCCCACAGATGCAGCAAGGCATGGCACAGAACTCGCAGCCGAGCCTAGAGCCCATGCTTCATCGACAGCCACGTCAGGAGTCTGTGCCACGTCAGCAGGCACTTCAGGAGTCTGTGCCACGTCGTCAGCCGTTTCAAGATCCCATGCCACGTCAACAGACGTTTCAGGAGCCCGCGTCACGTCAGCAGCCGTTTCAGGAGGCTGTACCACGTGAGCAGCCCTGCCAGCAGCCCACGCCGCGTCAGCAGCCTCGGCGGGAGTGGTGGCTTGATGCGATAGGTGAAGGGGAGCTGATTCAGGTCCCGAGGGACAGTGCAACGGCCGACACCAGGGCGAGCGTTCAAGTGGGTACTCTTGAAACGGGCGCTGCTGCTGGTATTGGGTACGAGAGGCTTCAAGGGCAGGCGGAAGCTGGCGAGAGAGTTCAATTTGAAACGCTTGATGATTTCCAGATTCGCAATAACGAGTATGGGAACAGTGCTGGCGTTGGCTTGCAGGGGTTGCAAGGGAGGCAGCAGGGGGATGGGCAGATGCGAGGGGGGAGAGATGAGGTGACGCCAGGTGACGAGCGGTATGTGAATGACTGGCAGCAGCAACAGCAGCTGCTGCTGCTGCAACAGAAACAGCAACAGCTGCTGCAGCAGCCACAGCAGCCGCAGCAGCAGCAACAGCAACCACAGCAGTTGCTGCAACAGCAGCGGTTGAATGATGAGCAACTGTTGTTGCTGCTGCAGCACCAACAGCAACAGCAACAGCAAGAGGTGCAGCAGCAAGAGCAACAGCAGCAGCAAGTACTGCAGATGCAACAGGAAGAGCAGAGTTTACTGCTGCTACAGCAGCGGCAGCAGCAGCAGCAAGAAATGCAGCGACAGCAACAGCAACAGCAGGAGCAAGAGATGGAGCGACAACGACAGCAGAGGCAGCAGCAGGAGCAGCAGGAGCAAGAGATGGAGCGACAACGACAGCAGAGGCAGCAGCAGCAGGATCAAGAGATGCAGCGACTGCGACAGATGCAGCAACAGCAACAGCAACAGCAACAACAGCAACAGCAACAGCAGCAACAACAACAGCAGCAGCTTCTATGGCAGCAGTGGCAGGAGCAGTTGGCACAGCAGCAGGTGCAGAGTGGACAGCAGCAGCAGCCAGAACCCCACCAAGTGCTGCTGCAGCAGCAGCAGCAGCAGCAGCAGCAGCAGCAGCAGCAGCAGCAGCAGCAGCAGCAGCAGCAGCACTACGAGCATCAGCAACAGCAACAGGTAGAGCAGCAAGATGACCTTATTCTGCCAAGCACTGTAAGCCCACTTGCACAACTTCCCAGCGCAGTGGCGGTGACTGAAGCACCAGGTTCAGAGCTGATGGACGGTGGTGACGAGGACATGGACAATGCTGACGTGGACATGGACAGTGCTGATGTGGACATGGATGCTGCTGACGTGGACGTAAACGAGCTTGTTCTGCCCGGTGAAGAGGCCAATGAAGCTGTGACTGGTGCCACCTTCCACCCCGCTGCTGCCACCCCTGTTGCTTCCCCTGCATGTGCCTCTGCTGCGGCTTCTGCCAGTGCTGTTGCTTCTGCCACTGCTCCCACTGCTGCTGCTGCTGCCACTGCTTCTGCTGCTGCTGCTGCTGCTGCTGCTGCTGCTGCTGCTGCTGCCGACTCTGTGGGTGCGCGATGGCAGCGAGTGAACTGGATTGGCAACAGGCACACGGCACTTCCGCACCCTCCGCTGCAGCAGCAGCAGGTGCGGCAGCAACAGCAACAGCAACAGCAGCAGCAGCAGCAGCAGCAGCAGCAGCAGCAGCAGCAGCAGCAGCAGCAGCAGCAGCAGCAGCAGCAGCAGCAGCAGCAGCAGCAGCAGCAGCAGCAGGAGCAGCAGCAGCAGCAGCAGCAGCAGCAGCAGCAGCAGCAGCAGCAGCATCAGCAGCAGCACCAGCAGCAGCAGCAGCAGCAGCAGCAGCAGCAGCAACAGCAGCAGCAGCAGCATCAGCATCAGCATCAGCAGCAGCACCAGCAGCAGCAGCAGTTGCAACAGCCGCCGCCACAGCAGCAGCAACAGCAGCGGCAGCAGCAGCGGCAGGGGCAACAGCAGCGGCGGCAACGGCGGGGGCAGCAGCAGCAACAGCAACAGGTTCAGCAGCAGCAGCAGCATCAGCAGCAGCAAGCCTCAATAGTAGCCCCGGCCATTCAGGGCTCCGCAGCAACACCTTCCACGCTCCTTCCTGGGCGCGAAGCTTCTGTGCATCTTCCCGCAGAGGAACCTTCCGCACACCTTCCAAGCCGTGAGCCTGTCAGGCCGTATCCCCTGCCCGAATCATCTCCTCATCCTCCCACCCAGACGCACACCCTCCCTCCAGCACAAGTGATTGTTGAATCGACTCGTGATTCTGTCCATCCTCCTGCTGACCCCCATGCCCTCTCGCCGTTAGTGCCTGGGGCTAGAGGGAGGGGAGCAGGGGAAAGCGGGAGGGGGAGAGGCAGGGGCGGCGGAAGGGGAACCGGAAGGGGAAGGGGAAGGGGCAGGGGAAGGGAAATGGGCAGGGGAAGGGGAGCTGGGGAAGGCGAAGCGGGAAGGGGAAGGGGAGTGGAGGAGCAGGAAGGGCTGGGGCAAGGCGAGGGAATGGCGAGGGGAGAGAATATGGGATCAAGGGTAGGCTTGAGTGAGGCTGGGACTAGGGATGGGATGATGATGATGATGATGATGATGGGGGATGGGGGTGCAGGGAGGTGGCAGAGTGTAGCAAGGGTGGGCGGTATGGGTGGGGATGGGGAGATAGCGAGGGGTGAAGCAAGGGGCCGTGGTGGTCAGCATATGGCAGTTGCAGGGACGGGCGCTGTTGCTGGTGTTGCTGGTGTTGGTGGTGCTGGTGGTGTTGGTGGTGCTGGTGGTGTTGGTTGTGCTGGTGGTGTTGGTGGTGCTGCTCCTGTTTCTTGTGCTCCCACCACCGCTGCTGCTGCCGTGTCTGGTTCAGTTGCTGCTGCTGCTGGCGCCGCCTGTACTGCCGATGCGGCTGCCACTGCTGCAGCTGGTGCTGCTGGTGTTGGCGGGAGTGGCAGCGTGGCAGCAGCGGGGAGAGGAAGGGGTGGAGGAGCTTTGCTGGTGGGGCAGGGCAGAGGCATGGGTAGGGACATGGGTGGGGGCATGGGTGAGGGCATGCATGGAGACATGGGTGGGGGCATGGGTGGGGGCATGGGTGGGGGCATGGGTAGGGGCATGGGTGGGGGCATGGGTAGGGGCATGGGTAGAGACATGGCTAGGGACATAGGAAGGGGCATGGATGGGGGCATGGGCGAGGGCATGGGTAGGGACATGGCTATGGACATGGGTATTGGCATGGGTAGGTTCATGCCTGGGGGCATGGCTGGGGACATGGGTAGAGGCATGGCTGGGGACATGGGTAGAGGCATGGGTGGGGACATGGGTAGAGGCATGGCTGGGGACATGGGTAGAGGCATGGCTGGGGACATGGGTAGAGGCATGGGTAGGGACATGGGTAGAGGCATGGGTAGGGACATGGGCAGAGGTATGCCAGGGGGCGGAGGTGGAGGTATACCTGTGGGAATGGGTAGGGGCGTGGGTAATGGCATGGGCGGGCGCATGGGCAGGGGCAGGGGAAGAGGCAGAGGCAGGGGCTTTTCTGCAGGCTATCTTGCTGGGCTTGCCGCTGCCCGTGCTGCACTTGCCCTTGAAAGCGGTGCTCTGGTTGGTGCTGCTGCTGGTGGTGCTGCTGCTGCCTCTGGGCCTGCTCCCGCCGCCGCCGCTGCTGCTGTTCCGTTGAACCCATCCCCATCAACAACAGCAGGAGCAGCGGCAGCGGCAGCAGCAGCAGGAGAAGGGCTGGACGGAGGAGTGGATTGGGAGATAGAGATGGGGAGCATGCCCTTGGATGAGGATGGTGATGACGGTGATGATGGCACTGAGCCGTGGCCGTCCGAGGGAGTACGGGAGGCGGGAGGAGCGGCGGGAGGAGGAGCAGATGCAGCGAGTGCAGCAGCAGGAGCGGATGGGGTGGGAACAGAACGGGCAGCAGCAGGCGCGCAAGGTGAGGCAGCAGCAGGAGGGGGGGCAGCAGCAGATGGTGGGGCAGCAGCAGCAGCAGCAGCAGCAGCAAGGGGGGAAGGCGGGGTGGAGGACGAGGGGGAGTGGCAGCCTATTCGGTTGCGGAAGGGGCGGCCGAAGAGGCAGAACAAGCTGGATGTGCCGACGAAGCGGGAGATGTGCGCCCTCAAGCGCTTGCGGCCGGGCCTCACCCACGCTAACATCATTCAGCTGCTGCAGGTGAGAGCAGTGGGAGCGGTTTGTGTGGTTAGTGTGGTGCCCTGCAGGTGCATCAGGAGATGTGGTGAGTGTGGCGAGTGTGGTGAGTGTGGCGAGTGTGGTGAGTGTGGTGAGTGTGGTGAGTGTGGCGAGTGTGGTGAGTGTGGCGAGTGTGGTATCGACCAAGTGGGAGATGTGCGCTCTCAAACGTGCGCGCCCAGGGTTGACCCACGCACCCCTTACCACACCCACCCACCCACCCACCCACCCACCCACCCACCCACCCTCCTTCCCCTCCCCTTGTTCCCTCAAATGGATTCCTCACACGTGGCCAAGATAAATGAAAGGTGGAGAGCCAGTGGACTGACGACCGGAGCGTCAGGTTCACGCACAACAAGCGTGTGCGTGAGGCACAATAAGCGTGTGCGTGACGCGCAACATGCATGTGCGTGAGCATCAAGCACCCCAGTCCACCCCCACCCACCTACCTCCCCTCCCCCCGTCCCCCGCTTCCCCTACTCTTCCTCTACCCCGGCCCCTCTCTTCCATCCCCCTCCTTTGCAGCAACGCTTCCCTGGGCTGCGAATGGAGTCGTCACACATCACCAAGATCATAAAGGATGAGAGCCAATCCTTCTCCCCAGCTCCTCTTCCCAACCCCTCTCCCCACTCCCTCTCTCCCCACTCCCTCTCCCTCTCTCCTCAACCCCTCTCCCCAACCCCTCTCCCCATCCCCCCTCCCCCTCTGCAGATTCGCTTCCCTGGGCTGCGAATGGAGTCGTCACACGTGACTAGGATAATAAAGGATGGGTGCCAATTTTTCTCCCCAGCCCCACTCCCCCCTCCCCTCAACCGCTCTTCCCAACCCCTCCCCTCAACCCCTCTCCCCAACCCCTCCCCTCAACCCCTCTCACCAACCAACCCCTCTCCCCAACCCCCCTCCCCAACCCCTCCCCCCCCTCCTTTGCAGATCCGCTTCCCTGGGCTGCGAATGGAGTCGTCGCACGTAACCAAGATAATAAAGGACGAGAGCCGGTGGTTTGACGAGCGGAACGTGAGATTTGTGCACAACATGCGCGTGCGCATGCCCGACTGTTACGCACTCGAGGAGGCTCTGGCAGCGTGGTACAAGGAGGAGCGCATGCACGGCCGCATTCCGCTGTCTAGAGTCTCTGGCAAGGCCCGGGAGCTTGGCCCTCTGCATGGCGCCCCGGCAGACTTCAAGTGAGTCCCAGCGAATTTTCAACTCCCATCCTTCAACTTCAAACCCGACACCCTGAGCTTGAAACTTTGAACCCCAACTTTCGTACCTTGGAACCTTAAGCCTCACACCATAGAGGAGGCCCTGGCGGCGCGATACAAAGAGGAGCGCACTCGCGGCCGCGTGCCGCTGGCAAGAGCTGCTGACAAGGCCCGGGAGCTTGGCCACGTGTAGAGAGGGTGTTTTTGAGACGTCTCAAAAACACCCTCTCTACAAGTGAGTGCCTGCAAATATTAAATCCTAAACCCCAAGTTGGTGTGCCCTGAACTCTAACCCCGTTGCTTCCGCTGCCACTGTCCTCCCTGTGCTCTCCCGGCCCACTTGCAGGTACAGCACCGGATGGGTGATGCGGTTTCAAGAGCGGTGGGGGTTCTCAAAGAAGCATCTGGAGGCAGCGAGGGAAGCACACTTTCAGGAAGAGGAGGAGGACGACGGGGAGGGGGAGGGGGCGGGTGGGGGTGGGGGTGGGGGTGCTGCTGCTGCTGAGGGGGAGAATACTGGCCCTTCACTTCTAGAGCTTGCTGATCGGATGTTTGGGCCTGAGATTAGGGAGGCTGGGAGGGGAGGTAGGGGTCAGAGGAGGAGGAGGCAGAGGGAGTGGACTGCGGATGGACGCGAGGTGATAGATTTGGAGAGTGTGGAGGATGAGGAGGGCGGGGAAGGGAGTGGGGAGGACGGGGATGAGGAGGGGGAGGAGAGGGAGGAGGAAAGTGAGGAGGAAAGGGAGGGGGAGAGGGACGGTGAGGGTGGAGGGGAGGAGATGGGGCAGGTGGTGGAAACACAGGAGGGAATGGAAGTGCGTGGGGAAGGGGGAGTACGCGAGGGAGGGGGGGTGCGTGAGGGAGGGGGAGTGCATGAAGGGGGAACTAGCCCTCGTTCACCCACAGCTCAAACCACCACCCTAGCAGATCGCTCCCCTCGCCCCACCCTAGCAGAATTGGCTCTAGCAGAGGCGATTGCAGATGGCACGATATCAGATGAAGGCGGGTCCCTCCGTGTGAGGGGTGACTTGGCATCCCTTGCTCTGGCTGAAGCCACAGGAGCCCTGCCTGCTGCTGCCATTGCTGCTGCTGGGGATATTCTGTCCGTCCCTGCTGGCCCTGCTGCTTGTGCTGCGTCTGGTGTTCCTGGGAAAAAGCTGCCAGCGCGGCAGCAGAGGCAGCGGCGGCGGCAGCAGCAGGTGGGGAGGGGTGGACGGGAGTCACGGCGGGGAATGAAGTACCAGACTCGGCGACATTTCAACCTCACAGTGAAATTCAAACGAGCAATGTGCTTGCTCCAACAGGCCGTGCCTGAGTTGCGGGTCAAAGGGCTATTGCGGCTGATTACCCAGGAATGTGAGGGTAAGTTGCTCGAGAGCGTACCATACTGCAACATTCGCAAAATGCTGAGCCAGAGGGACTATTACCTCCGGTCTCAGGACCTGGAGAACCGTTTCCGGTTTAGAAAGCCGAAATACCCTGAATTTGAGAGGGCACTCGCAGAGTGGGTGCGTGAAATGAAGGGCAAGTATGGGGAGGATGTTCTAGTGTATGAGGATGTGAAGGGGTATGCGAAGCAGCTAGGGGCACGCATGGGCGTGCGGAAAACCTTTACTTACAGCCATGGTTGGGTGGCTAGGTTTTTGCGCCGACAGGGGCTGAACTTGAAGAGTATTAGGAGGGATGTGGCGAAAAGGGGAGAGTCTGGGGCGGGTGGGGGCGGGGGTGGGGAAGGCGGGGAGGGGAGGGAAGGGGGGGAAGGGGAGGGGGAAGGGGAGGGGGAAGGGGAGGGGGAAGGGGAGGGGGAAGGGGATGAGTTAGGGACGGATGGAGAGAGGGGAGGTGTGACTACAGACGATGGTGCCAGTACTGATGGGGGCGGTGAGGGAGAGGGGGAAGACGGCAGAGGGGTGGGAGGGGGGAGGGGGGAGGAAAGGGGGGACGAGGAGGGAAGAGAGGAAGGAGGGGAGACAGCAGGAGGGGAGGCAGCAGGAGGGGAGGCAGCAGCAGGAGCGGAGGCAGCAGCAGGAGGGGGTGCAGCAGCAGGGGATGCAGCAACAACAGAAAAGGCAGAGGAAAAGGCAACAGCAGCGAGGGAGGCGGACGAGCTGGCAGGGAGGATCATGGCGCTGATAGAGAAGATCAAGGCAGGCGAGGAGGTGGCAGCTCTGCAGGCCGAGAGGCTTGCCTGCCGCAGAGGAGGAGGCAGGGTCCGAGGCAGGCGGCCGGGGTACCTTGGTCACACCACCACCACCGCCGCCACTGCAACAAACAACAACGACGGTACTAACGGTGGTAGCGGCGGTGGTAACACCACCGGTGGTGTGAAGCAACGCACGCAGGTGCCGCTGCCGCTGAAGCTCGCCGCGTGCGCCGTCTACCGCGCCCGCCCCGACCTCCCCCACGTGATCGTGCACCAGACCCTGCAGAAGCGGTACAATGTGAAGCTAGAGCGGTTGAAAGCGGCCAATATGCTCAGCATGGAGGGGGTTATGAGGGAGACGATGCAGCGGGGCATGGTGCGGGCGCGGAAGGGCAGAGAGGTGCAGCTAGAGGAGGCTCTTGCTATGGCTGTGAGGGAGGCTGCAGCGAGGGTGGGCGGGGAGCGGGGTGGGGAGGGAGCGGGAGAGGGAGGGGCGACAGGGGATGGAGGTGACGGGGGGGGGGCAGGAGCAGGAGGAGGAGGGGGGGGAACAGGAGGAGGAGCGGGAGGAGAGGGGGCAGGAAGATCAGGAGCAGCAGGAGGGGGGGGAGCAGGAGCGGGGGGAGCAGAAGGCGAAGCCACAGCAGCAGCAGCGACAGCAGCAGCGACAGCAGCCCCCCCTGCCCCGCTAATGACGGTCCCTCAGATACTGGCATACGCGAAGCGCCTGGGCCCGCTGGTGGGCGTGTCCCCTTCGTTCCGTTACAGCACCGGCTGGCTGCGGTGCTTCCTGGATCGCCACAAGCTCGAAGCATTCGTTGCTGGGAAAGCCGCGCGGAAAGGGGGTGCGGCTGGAGGAGGAATGGGGGGAGGAGGACCGGGGGCAGGAACGGGTGGAGGAACGGGGGAAGGAACGGGGGGAGGGACGGTGGGAGGGGCGGGAGGTGGGAGGGGAGGGGAGGGGGAGTGCGAACCGGAGGGGCTGAGAGGGATTCTGGATGAGACGTTTCATGTGAGGCAGGAGGAGGTGGATGCGCTTGTGAGAATGGGTGATCGGCTGTGGCAGAGGAAAATGCGCATGCACCGTGGGCACAAGGGCGGAGAGGAACTTGTGGAGTCTGAGGACGATGAGGAGGAAGGGGAGATGGGGAGGGGAAGAAGCGGGAGAGGGCGGGGTGGGGATGGGGATTGGGGGGAGGATGGAGGGGATGCGGGTGGTGATCGTGATGACTCTGGTAGTGATGGTGGTAATGGTGGTGATGGTGGTGGTGGTGGTTTTTGGGGAATGGCAGAGCGAAGCACCCACTTCCCTCTTCCTGACTCAGGGGCCTCCAGGCAGGCAGGGGGGCATGGGGCGAGAGTCACTCGTTCCCAGCATCTTCATTCCCTCTCAAACCTGCCTGGGGCGCAGGTGGTGCCGCCTTCTCTTGCTTCTCTTGCGCCTAGTGGTGCAGGCACGAGGTGGGGAGGAGCAGCAGCAGCAGCGCTCGTGCCCGCGCATGTGACCACGGCAGAGGGGATCCTGTCCGAGCTAGCAGATGTGCGCGTGGGGGCTCTGTCAGAAGCGCACCCGTCCCTGCTCTCCTCCTGGTCTCGCCTCTCTGCTGCCTCTCCTGCTCGTTCTGCTGGTGCTGCTGGTGCTGCTGGTGCTACTGGTGGGGGTCTAGGCGCTGCTGTTGGGGTTATAGACGGGTCAGGGGGCATGCTTGGCGGGATGACTGGGGGGAGTGAGGTGGAGCTGAGAATGGCCCGGCGGCGAAGAGACATGCTGTCCTCTGATGCTTTCTATAAACGCTGGCAAGAGCATGCGAGAGTGCGCCGAGAAGCGGGTGAGAAAGCGAGGGAGAGAGGAGGTGGTGAGGGAGGAAAGGGGGAGAGAGGTATGGGAGAGGGAGAGGGGACGGGAGAGGGAGGAGGAAGGGCGGTCGGAGTGGTGGGAGGGGCGGGAGGTGCAGGAGGAGGGGGCGGAGAGGGGAAGAGTGGGGAGGGGGTGTGGGAGGAGGACGAGGGGTGGGAATGGTGGAGGAGGTCTGGTGTGGTGGGGGTGCGGCAGATGGTAGGGGCGTGGGATACTCTCTTGGCTTTGCGTGCTGTGTGTGCGGAAAGGGAGGGTGTTGCTGGTAGGGGTAGTAAGAGTAGGGGTAGTGGCGGTGGGGAAGGGGGAGGTGGTGATGGGAGAGTGAGAGTAGGGGGAGCTGGGGTAGGTGGGGGAAGAGGGAGAGGTGGTGGGAGAGGGGCAGGAGCGGGGAGAGGGAGGGAAGCGGTCGTGCGATGGGGGGCTGGGTTGCAGGTGAAGCAGGAGTGGGATGAGGTGGAGTATGGTGGCAGTATGGGGCATAGGACTGAGGCGAGTTCCAGTGGCAGCAGTGGTAGTGGTGGCAGCAGCAGTGGCGGCAGCAGTGGCAGCAGCAGTGGCAGCAGCAGTGGCAGCAGCGGTGGCAGCAGTAGTGGCAGCAGCGGGAGTGACAGTCAAGAGTCGAGCAGATCTGTCGAGGATAACGATGACAGCAAGAGTGACGCGTCTTATAGCGAGGATGGCAGTATGGAGGATTGGGAGGAGAAGCCGGCAGTGGGGAGGCAGGGGGGAGGGCTGGGGCAAGGGCGGGTGAGTACAAGGGGGACTGGGGTACGGGTTGGAACACGGGGGTCTGTGGGGTGGATGGGTAGAGGGGGCACTGAAGGAAGGGGCACTGGGGGGCGGGGCAGGAAGAGGCGCAGGGGTGAGGAGCAGGGCGGGCCGATAGCGGCTGCAAAACGCGGGGGGAAAGGGGGTTTTGGGGTAAGAGGTGGTGGGCGAGGAGGGGGGACGGGACAGGGGCGAGGTGGGTTTTCAGGGCTGAGAGGAGTTGGAGGAGCCATGCTGGCAGGCCGAGGTGGGTTGGCAGGAAGGGGCGGGGCAGCAGGACTAGGTGGGGTGGCAGGAAGAGGATGGGCGGCAGGACTAAGTGGGGCAGCAGGAAGGGGCTGGGCGGCAGGAAGAGGTGGGACGGCAGGAAGAGGATGGACAGCAGGAATGGGCTGGGCGGCAGGAAGAGGAGGTGGCGGGTCAGGTCCACCGCTGGGCCCCACTGGGCAACCGTCGTCCTTTGCAGCACTGCTGTCACAACTCCTCTCCTCCACTGGCCCCCCTCCTGGCACACTCACCCCTTCCGCTGCAGCCAACATCGGCAATCCCCTCAACCCTCACACTGCTCAGGGATTTAGGGTTGGAGGGTTTGGGGGGGACGAAGGTGCTGCTGCTGTGGCTAATGCTGCTGTTGCAAATGCGTCTGCAGCTGCAGCTACTGCTGCTAGAATGCCATCGGCTACAGTCACCACCACTACTGTCACTCCTGCTGGGTTCACCACCACCACAATTGTCCCCAATAGGTAATCCTTTCTGTAATATCTCAAGCTGATTGTGTTTGACAAACCACATGAAATAGCTTGAACATGTCCTCTATAATCAATCTTATCAAGTTCTGAAGTGATTTGGCATGTAAACCTTGCTTTGTCGCATCCCCAAAACCATCCCAGCCCAAAACCTCCCCCCAAAACCCGAACTCCACTCAAAGCCCTCCTTTCTCATCAACCCTCCCGAAACAACCTAACCGCACTTGACCCCTGCATGTTTGACAGCCAACAATCCTCCATCACTCGTTATCCCTCCTGCTCACGTGGCCCGCGACCCGTCAGAAGAACCATTGCCTCTATCTACTCTTCCTGCCCAAACACCCTCCCAAGCTGCCCGCGAATGGCGCCGCCAGCGTAATGCGTGGTACTAACTGTGACGTAGTAACTCTCCGGCTCTTGCAAAATCACCCGCACCGCTTCACGAAGCGACTGCTGGTCTCGCTCACTCGACGCGAAGTAGCTAGTATTAGCTTCATTACTACTATCAGTAGCAGTACCGTTACCGTAACGGTCACCCTTCCCTGCCTCGTGTTCCCCCGCGCCCCGCCCCGCTTCGGCGCGCAGCTCCTCCGCGCTCCCCCCCACCGCGCCCGCGCAGGTCACCGTCAGGGAAGCGCTGCCCGCGGCGTGGTGACCAGCGCGGCGCCCCGTGGTGCCGCACGGTAGGTCCAGGAGGCGCTCATGGTGCGCGCCCGCCTCGCCCTTCCTCCCGCGGTGCGCGCTCATCTTCCGCGGCGGCGCGTCGCGCGACAGCCCGATGATGATCACCTTGTATTCCAACCGGAACGGCCCGTTGGAGTCTCTGCCGAGTTCAGGAGACGTGGTTGGTTACGTAACGACAGAACAGGAAAGAAATAACTTAAAAGATCCCCGGTTTCGTCGGGACAGCCCCTTGAGAATCGCGTTGTATTCCACCCAGACCGTTTCGCTCGAGTCTCTGCGGATTATGATGATGGATGGTTTCGGAACGGTGGGTGTAGGACGTCGTAACGAGTTTCGTCTTGACAGCCGCGGCATTGAAGAGTTATAGTTTGCGCAGAAAGGCCAAAAAAAACGCCCGACGCGCACGGGTTCCTTTCCTCGTCTTTCGAGAATGGCGGAACCGCTGGTAATAGCTAGTAGCACGCAGTTCGACGCGACGGATCGCAGCGTAATGCACTGTACCGCACTGTAACACAATGTACCGCACTGTACCGCCGCAACACACCTATGGATGGTGGCGTTCAGGAAGCCGTAGGCCTTGGGATCTCCGCGCGCTGGCACCACCTGCTGCCCCGTCAGCTTCGCGTAAATCTCCTGCACCGACGCGCTTCCGCCGCTGCCGCCACTGCCGCCCACCACTGCCGCGCCGGCGAGGTACTGCCTGGGGACGGCGCTATCTGACAGCACCCCTGCGGGGAGAGATGATGCTGCCCCGGTCGCGATGGTCGGGGGAGGAACGAGCGTGTGGTTTGGTTTTGCTGTCGCATTAGCTGAGGGGAGATGGGCTGGTGTGGGTGGGTCGGGATGCTCGAGGTGCACTAGTTTGGTCGCTTGGCCTGCAAACGACAGGTAGGATGATTGGGGGAGGGAAGCACGCGGCGTCATACATCTTTGGAGATTAAGGAATGTGAATGTGAGTGAGTGTGAGTGTGAATGTGAGTGTAAGTGAGTGTGAGTGTGAGTGTGAATCAGGCTCCATTAGTCTTTTATTATGTAGGAGGATTCGTAGAATTTTAAAAATGTGCTGCATGGTCCGCTGGTTGTCTGGTCGGAGCGAGCACCAAGAGCCGTAAGCAATTGAGTTTTGACTGAAGGTGAGATGTGAGTGAGATGCGGAGCACCAGCCAGCAGCCTGAAGCAGCTGGATTTTGCGCCGACTGAGAGATGAGATGTGAAGAAAGCACATCACCTTGATCCTGGCTGTGCCCCGACAGCGCGAGCACCAGCAGCGCAGCGACCACTGCATTCCGTGCGCAGAAGGGAAGGGAGGGGGGTGGGAGGAAGGGGGGACGGGAGTGAGGTTGGGGGTTGAATTTGGACAATCTGGTTAATGTTTTTCAGCCACGCTTCCCTGAACTCCTTTGTACCTTCTCCTACTAGTAGTACCTCTTTCGCGTCATCACACGGCTGCCCTCACTCCCTTTGGACGTGTGACCCCGCGACGACGGCTCAGCAGAACGCCATTCCTGTCCGGATCCTGAGCGGATGCATGAAATTTTGAAGGATTCGGCGCGCTGTGCTGGGTCCCAACCACTGTTTTTCCTTTCCACAATATATATAACATTGCTAACTGGTGAGTTGCTCGGATCACCGCACGGTACTACGCACCGAGGAAGAGGGCGATCTGCTCGTGAAATTCGGCCATCGGCGAAGTACGCCGCGTTTGGCGATGCGAAGCAGGTTAAGAGCAGCCTTTCTTCTAGATTTAGGCGATTACCAGGCTGGCAGCGTTTATGGGTCTCGCTTCAGCACTAGGATGAGAACTGTAGCCTTAGTATGCAATGAAGCGAGTACACGCTTCACACCTGATCATGCTCATGGAAAAAACTCACGAAGAAGACATTTTTGAGGGGCTTCACGAATTGAGCCGTCACGCTTAAACACAGATATGGAGAACAGCGATCATCTATCTATTCCAGGTTGAGCTTTAGGAATTATTACAAGGCCTTTTTTATGCTGACAAGCAAGAACGGAATGAGCTGGGGGGGGGGGGGATGCTGGCAGCAAGAGCAAGTGTCGTCATCGTGGCCGTCCGTCACCCATATCGATTTGAATAATCGTGGTGGCTGGGTGATGGAATTCTGTTGTGACGGATAATTGCGAGTCGCGAATCGTTGCATGAAATTTCACTCCATCGTCCTGCAATTCGCATCCGTGACTCACGGCGAGAACTGAAAAGGCGTGATACGGTCACTTTCCACTAATACCCGATTTGAGTTATTCGTTGCCTTTATGTACAAATTCTTGGGCAAGTCATGCCCTGAATGACTAGTGTAACTCCAAAAAACTTGGAAATGCATTCCCTTTATCATTGCCGCACATTGCAGGCTTATCACAATGAATTTCAATGTGTGCATAACGCAACTCAAACTACACCACAACTTTCTTAGCATCTTCTTTCTCATCAGAATCAGTGACGAGGTCTGCGGTCCTGGAAGTCGTCATGGCGCCAAACACAGCAGCGGAGACGAACCAGAGGAAGAGCGAAGCCCAGTTCTGAGCCATGCTCGCACTGCCGTAGTGCGGCTGGCCTGAATGCACCATCATCATCTGCATGTCCGCGAACCCATTCTGCACATCACAGACAGGCAGAAGAAAGACAGGAGAAGAAAGGAAGCAGAAAAAGGGCAGCAGAACATAGGGGATTTGAGAGCCTGGGCGAGGAGCAAAGAACATGCTCAACCATGATCGGCTCTTGCATCCCCCTCATCTCTTCCCTCCCTCACGTCCCGACTGCCATATCTCCCTCGAACACCGAACATCTACTGCAAATAATCAAGGGAGAAATATGGGGGAGCGGTAATCTTATGGAAGAATCTGCAGCAGCAGCATAAACGTTAATACACTGACCATGCAGGAACCAGGCAAGTAGGTGAACTCACCACGCACGTGCCGATGCCGGCATAATAGGTGAACTTGCCAAGCAGGATGTGGTACGTGCCCATCTGGTACCGCATCGCATTGGACAGGTGGCTCTTGAACAGCACGAACGCGCACAGCCCCCAAAAGAACTGCATGCGGGGAGAGATGGTTCATGGAATGAGATGCACTTTTGAGTTGACTCAAAAGTGAGAATTGGAGTGCAGGGAGAGATGGCATCGTGGAATGCAGAATGACGCGACGCACAGCATAGCACAACAAACCTGGTGGGAAAACTCGTATGTCTGAAGACAGAGCGAAGAAGCGTCACCAAATGACGAATGATGGATGTCTCTCACGATGATCAGATCAAATCAAATCAGAACAGATCAGATCAGATCAAAACAGAACAAAGCCATGCTGCCAGTGAGCAAGTAGCTTCATGCTCGCCACATGGGACGAGGAATCAGCGCACTCCAGCGCACCTGGAGGGCGAAGAGCGCGAGTGTGAGCACGCCGCAGTAGGTGTGAACGGAGTACATGTGCTTGCTGGCCGACACGTCCTTGGCCACGATGATAGACGCCATAGCGAATGCCGCCAGGATCAGCGCGATCGCCTGCCACGCCAGGTGCACCCACTTGGCGTACCCGTTCGCCCTGCGGTGGCCGGGGGACGACAGAAACGTGTAAGCCGCAGTCACACGGGTTGACTTTTGAGTCGATTGAAGAGTCATGCCAGGTGCACCCACTTGGCGTACCCGTTCGCCCTGCGGTGGCGGGGAGACGACAGAAAACGTTACAGTTACAGTCACACGGGTTTTGAGACGCCTCAAAAGTCGCTTGATCAGGATGAGCACGATCGCCAGCCACGCGAGGTGCACCCTCTTAGCGACTGGAAGGCCGCCAATGAGCACTCTCCCGCGCAGCAGCATCGATGGGGAAGCACGAAGAACCGGCAGGGAGTGACGTGACTCTACCTGATAGGGGTGGAAAAGCTAGGGTAAACCACCTGAGGGAGGAGGAGGAGAAGGCGATGATGGATTCGGTCATGGCGATGCCCATGAGCAGCACGTAACAGATAAGAGCCGGGTAGGGTGGCCAGCTAGTTGCTGCACGCCTATTGGGAGGTGGAGAAAGCGAGGGTAACCTACCTGAGGGAGGAGGAGCAGAAGGCGAGGATGGATTCGGTCAAGGCGATGCCGAAGGCGATGCCCATGAGCAGCACGTGCCAGTTCCACCCGTTGTCGCAGTCGAAGCACGCGGACAGCCCGCCGTAGACAGCAAGCGAGGGGTCCGTCTTGTCCTTTGAGAGGTAGGCGCAGAAGGTGATGAGCAGCGCCAGGAAGACGAGCTCGAAGAGTCGCGCGGTCCACGAGAACACGCGCACGGGCACGCTGAGCGTGTGCGACCCCATGCTGGCGACGGTTGGCGACGGCGAGCGACTGTGAGCGACGGTGGCGACGGTGGTGAATGAGCGAGGTCGACGGGAGAGGGAGATGGTGTAGCGGTGTCGGCTCGCAGAAAGGCGGAGAATGCGGGATTGGCGCCGTGGGAGACGTGACTAGAGTAGGTGGTAGAGGTGAGCCAATCTCCCAGACGACGATTAGAGCTCGTAGCTCTTCCGCACCTTTCTCTCGAGATTGCCGAATTCGAGAGTGGATCACGGCCCTATTTGAGCTCTCGTCTCCTCGCCTCTAGTTGGAGTCCATCTAGTAGGGCTGAGTGAACTCCTGCCCCAACATCCCGACTCCTGTCCCTCCATCCCATCTCCGCTTCCCTCTCCTCTCCGCGCACGCTCGTCGTCTCGGCATTCATCATGCCACGTCACGACCCCCATCGTGCGGTTACCGCAGCCGGTGTAGCGTCGTGTTGATCGTAGAAGCGGAATGCGGAATTGCGGCCGAGACAAACCGTGCGCTCGACGCCCCCATGCTGAGACTCGGGGGGTACTGTACAGAAGGAGGAGCGACGGTTTTAACGGCGGAAGACTAGCGTTGCGTGTGGTGACAGACTTTTGAGGCGCCTCAAAAGTCGTGTGGTGACAGGTTTTATTCGAGTTCCCTTTCTCATCGGATCGAGTTCCCTTTCTCATCGGAAAAAATCTCAACCGTTTCGCCCATCTGACGAAGTCGTTGTCGCCCGCAAGCCGCTGCTTTCTCTCCGCGCCCTCCCCCTTGCCAACCCCCTTTTCTCCATCCGCCACTCCCCCCAATGCTTCCCCTCCCCTCCTCTCCGTTTCCCGCCATCCAGTCAAACGTCATCGTGGTCGTTGGATCGTAAAGTGTTCCGCCGGGACGAATATCGGCTGTTCTCCTCGTGCCGCGCCACACATATCAAATGTCCTTCCGAACGACGTACGTACATGAAATTACCGCGACTCGGGAAGTTACTTTTCGTCCTTTGAGGGCTGGCGCGTGCCCAATCATTGCACTAGTGCTAATTGCGTGGCATACTGTGATTCGTGGAGCTCTGAGCGAGGAAATCTATGGAACAAGCGGCTCGGGTCTGGCGGCTGATCTAGAGGAATGCAATCAGCGGGTTTGTGTACGTACATGGTACGACAAACAGCAGAAAGTCTTGCTGGATGATCGTACATTCATAATCCCAAGCAGATCCTCGACATGTTGAATCTCGTTATAAATTCTAAAAAAAAAAAGTTTCCAATACTCAGCCTAACAACCATTCCTTATGCATCTTTGTTCGCCTTATAGAGGCACTAAGATAGATATGATTGAGTTGTAAAACATACACTGAAAAGTGGAATGGCAGTTACATTACATGATTAGATGAACCATTGTTTTGTTATGCACCAATCTGCATGCGGCTGATGGACGGACCAGTCACCAGGTTGACAGGTAGGGATTCCTAACAAATATGCGTTACAGACTTAGTCACATAGATTTTGCTGCTCCTACATTACTATAAAATATTGTGATTTACCGTTGCATTAAATTTAACAAAAAAAAATATGTCAAACCTATTAGTCAACCCATGGGGTGTTGGTAACACTGGCCGCAAAGGAATATGCATCAGTGTTACGATCAATGATCTTCTGTGTTGAAGTGCCCGCTCCATGGCCCGACTTCACATCTACTCTCAACACAACCGGATTGATCTGGTTTTCTTCATCGTTTGTGCTGCAAGGTTCGTGACGAGAGGCAAGGAGGCAACGCAAGAAAATAAGGTGTAAGTGGTGCTATCATGAACTTAGCTGAAGTACAGTAAAATGTGACAGCATGCGGCACCTACTCAGTGAGGCTAGGTGGGAAAGCCAAGAAGGTGCAAAGCATGTGCCACTTGTGCACCAACACATGCTGCCACCCACCTGTGCACCAACACATGCTGCCACCCACCTGTGCACCAACACATGCTGCCACCCACCTGTGCACCAACACATGCTGCCACCCACCTGTGCACCAACACATGCTGCCACCCACCTGTGCACCAACAAATCCTGCCACCCACCTGTGCACTAGCTCATGCTGCAGCTGAGCAGCGAACTTCAGGGAGTGAGAGGGCGGCACGCGGTCGTCATGGTCGCCCGTCAGCAGCATCACCGCCGGGTACTGCCTCCTGCGCTCTCCCCACTGCCGCTTTGCTGCTGCCACGTCAGCTACTGCTGCCGCGTCAGATTTTGCTGGCACATCAGCGGAATCTGAATGCGTGCCTGTGCTGTTGTTGCTGCTGGTGGGGCTGGCAGCTTCCCAGGGCCGCCTCACGTTGTGCAGAGGGGAGTAGCTGCAAAGCAGGGGAGGGTGGGATAGGGGAGATGGGAAGAAAAGATGTCTCAAATCAGAGGTCACCTTACGTTGTGCAGCAGAGAGTAGCTGTTAGGGGGGTTTTGAGGGTTAGGTAGGAAGCAAGTAGAAGATACATCAGATGCAGTGAAGAGAAGGAGAAGAGGGAAAGGGAACACAGAGCACACATCGCATGGCATGCTTCTACACATCGCACGGCATGCTTCTACACATCGCACGGCATGCTTCTACACATCGCACGGCATGCTTCTACACATCGCATGGCATGCTTCTACACATCACATGGCATGCTTCTACACATCGCATGGCATGCTTCTACACATCGCATGGCATGCTTCTACACATCGCACGGCATGCTTCTACACATCGCACGGCATGCTTCTACACATCGCACGGCATGCTTCTACACATCGCACGGCATGCTTCTACACATCGCACGGCATGCTTCTACACATCGCACGGCATGCTTCTACACATCGCACGGCATGCTTCTACACATCGCACGGCATGCTTCTACACATCGCACGGCATGCTTCTACACATCGCACGGCATGCTTCTACACATCGCACGGCATGCTTCTACACATCGCACGGCATGCTTCTACACATCGCACGGCATGCTTCTACACATCGCACGGCATGCTTCTACACATCGCACGGCATGCTTCTACACATCGCACGGCATGCTTCTACACATCGCACGGCATGCTTCTACACATCGCACGGCATGCTTCTACACATCGCACGGCATGCTTCTACACATCGCACGGCATGCTTCTACACATCGCACGGCATGCTTCTACACATCGCACGGCATGCTTCTACACATCGCACGGCATGCTTCTACACATCGCACGGCATGCTTCTACACATCGCACGGCATGCTTCTACACATCGCACGGCATGCTTCTACACATCGCACGGCATGCTTCTACACATCGCACGGCATGCTTCTACACATCGCACGGCATGCTTCTACACATCGCACGGCATGCTTCTACACATCGCACGGCATGCTTCTACACATTGCACGGCATGCTTCTACACATCGCACGGCATGCTTCTACACATCGCACGGCATGCTTCTACACATCGCACGGCATGCTTCTACACATCGCACGGCATGCTTCTACACATCGCACGGCATGCTTCTACACATCGCACGGCATGCTTCTACACATCGCACGGCATGCTTCTAGCCTCGCCATCTTGGCACTACGAGAAATCTAAACTCATAGCAGATTCTGAGAGCTCTGATTGGCAGTTCCAGAAGCCCCTTATAATATTGATTGTATGCAACCCCTAAACACACAACAAATCTTTCTGAGAGTTCTGAAAGTATCAGTAAAATTCCTTTCCATATTGGTGGTATGAGATGAGCATTTGAAACACATGGCAGTGGTACGGCAAGGCCTGTGTCACATGATTGCCAAAACGCATGCTGGCTGCGTTGCCATCTTCACAGGGCATCCCTGAGGAGCAATTTGAGCTGGTGTGGGTCAATGGAGCAGAGGGGGCCCCAAATAGATGCCATGGCGTTACGTGGCAGCGACTGCTAGCTCTACGTGCCGTGGCATGCCTGAGAAGCCACTTGAGTTGGTGCGGGTCGCTGGAGCAGCCATACTCGGAGGTCCACGCATGGCCGATTGTGAACTCGTGCAGGGAACTTGGTGAAAGAGGCACGAGTGGTATGCGATGCACTGATATGCGCGGCGAAAGGCGTACCTGAGGAGCCATTTGAGCTGGTGCGGGTTGCTGGAGCAAAAGTACTTGGAGGTCCACCCAGGGCTGAGTGTTGACTCGTGGAGGGGAACTAGGTGAAATGAGGGATCAATCCTATGCGATGCAAAAGGCATACCTGAGAAGCCACTTGAGTTGATGTGGATCACTGGAGCAGCCATACTCAGAGGTCCACGCATGGCCGATTGTGAACTGGTGGAGTCGCAGCATGTCTGTCAGCCCCACGTGTGCCAAGCCACATGCAAACAGGTCTGGGCGCTGATGGGTGGAACACGGGAGAAGGGAGAAGGGGAAGGGAGAATGGAGAAGGGAGAAGGGAGTAGGAGAGGGAAATAGGAAAATTTAGATGGGTGAAGGGAGAAGAGGACAAGGAGAAGGGAGCAGAGGACAAGGAGAAGGGAGAAGAGAGAAGGGAGGACGGCATCAGCAACCCCTTATTCCTACTTGTGAGCGGCGCATGGGTGCAGCCTTATCCCATCACATTGCATGGTATACCGACTCTACGATCGACATGCATGCACATACCGACATACCCACACACACCAACACAGCCACACATACCAACACAGCCACACACACCAACACAGCCACACATACCAACACAGCCACACACACCAACACAGCCACACATACCAACACAGCCACACACACCAACACAGCCACACACACCAACACAGCCACACACACCAACACAGCCACACACACCAACACAGCCACACACACCAACACAGCCACACACACCAACACAGCCACACACACCAACACAGCCACACACACCAACACAGCCACACACACCAACACAGCCACACATACCAGCATAGCCACACATACCAACACAGCCACACATACCAACACAGCCACACATACCAACACAGCCACACACACCAACACAGCCACACACACCAACACAGCCACACACACCAACACAGCCACACATACCAACACAGCCACACATACCAACACACCCACACATACCAACACAGCCACACATACCAACACAGCCACACATACCAACACAGCCACACACACCAACACAGCCACACATACCAACACAGCCACACACACCAACACAGCCACACATACCAACACAGCCACACATACCAACACACCCACACAAACCAACACACCCACACATACCAACACACCCACACATACCAACACAGCCACACATACCAACACACCCACACATACCAACACACCCACACATACCAACACACCCACACACACCAACACACCCACACACACCAACACACCAACACACCAACACACCCACACACACCAACGTACCAACACATACCAACCTACCTACACATACCACCATACCCACACCACACATACCAACACACCCACACACACCAACCCACCCACACATACCAACCCACCCACACACACCAACACACCCACACACAGCTAAGAATTCTAGAAAACTGCCTGCAAAGCGCCCACCTGGTTATGCAGGCAGCATTCAAGACTTCTAAAGAACCGCCTACCCCGTTGGGCACAAGCACGCCCACCTGGTTGACGGCGGCACTCACGAGCAGCCCCCCGTTGCTGCCACCCTCTATCACCAGCTTCAACGGCGATGTATACCCCTCGCTTATCCTTATCATGGAGCTTGGGAGCGTGGGAGCTTGGGAGGCATTTGCTAAGTCGACTTTTGAGTCGACTCAAAAGCTTGGGAGCTTGGGAGCTTGGGAGGCATTTGCTGAGTCGACTTGCTGCCACCCTCTATCACCAGGTTCAACGGCAATGTATACCCCGTCAGAGTATTGCCGCCCTGCATCATCACCTTGTATGGCGCATGGTATGCTTGCCACAGATGCACATACTCTCAAACACATACACTCCCGTTATAAGCACACCCACCTGGTTGACAGCAGCACTGACGAGCAGCCCCCCATTGCTGCCACCCTCTATCACCAACTTCGACGGTGATGTGTACCCCTCGCTGATCAGATGCTCCGCACAGCTCTGATGAAGGGGGCAAAAGGAATGGGGCGACTTTGAGGCGCCGCACAAATAGAGTCGCCTGGCAGGTGCATCTGATAGAATAAAAACACTACTTCATACACGTGGCTTCGAGGCGCCGCACAAATAGAGTCGCCTGGCAGGTGCATCTGATAGAATAAAAACACTACTTCATACACGTGGCTTCGAGGCACCACACAAATAGAGTCGCCTGTCAGGTGCATCTGATAGAAAAGATGGAGCACTGATTTTGTATGAAGTAGTGTTTTGAGACGTCTCAAAAGACTACTTCATACACGTGGCTTTGAGGCACCACACAAATAGATTCGCCTACCAGGTGCATCTGATAGACGAGATGGAGCACTGAAGCACTGATTTCGTTCTGATCCACCAGAAGCACAAATCAGATGCAGCTCTGGAGGACCTAGGATAAGAGATGGAGCACTGATTTTGTTGACATTGTTAGAGGAGGTCAAAAGGGAACATGGTGCGGAATGGTGGATTTGAAATGCCTTGAGCTTACCACACCTTAGTGGAGAATGAAGCAGCGTGAAATGAAGTCCCACTCACTGACATGGAAGTCGTCAAAGGTCCCACCCACACCAAGGTCCCACCCACACCAAGGTCCCACCCACACCAAGGTCCCACCCACACCAAGGTCCCACCCACACCAAGGTCCCACCCACACCAAGGTCCCACCCACACCAAGGTCCCCCACACAATGAAGTCCCACTCACATGGAAGTCGTCAATGCACTGCTGCTTGCTGGCCAGCGCGCCTTCCTTGTGCCACCTCTCCCCATACTCCCCCCCTCCGCGGATATTCGCCACTGCCACCACGGCACCGTGGTGCCTCATCAGCAGCACTCGGGCCACACTGAAGGATGGCTTGATGCAGATGTTGAAAAGCCCCACACAATGAAAGTCCCACTCACATCGAAGCCCCACTCACATAGAAATCATCAAAGCACTGCTGCTTGTGGGCCAGGGCGCCTTCCTTGTGCCACCTCTCCCCATACTCCCCCCCTCCGCCACTGCCACCACGGCACCGTGGTGCCTCATCAGCAGCACTCGGGCCACACTGAAGGATGGCTTGATGCAGATGTTGAAGCCTCCGTAGCCGTACAGGAGAGTGAAGTGGTCTGATGTGCGGGGTAGACCTTTACGGCACACCACAAACATGGGGATCCTGGGGGAAAGTGGGGCAACAGTAGAAGCATGGGAGATACGCTGAAGGATGGCTTGATGCAGATGTTGAAACCGCCGTAGCCGTAGAGGAGAGTGAAGTGGTCTGATGTGCGGGGCAGGCCTTTACAGCACACCACAAACATGGGGATTTTGTGGGAAAACAGGGGGCAGCAGGTGCATGGGTGTCATGCGGAAGCACAATGAACCTCAAAACGAGTGCATAAACATCTTATCTGAGTAAATCGGCAAGTTGGTTATTGGGAATTCTCATGAACCAAGGCGCCATGAACATCAGATCTGGGTAAAAATCGGCAACCTGAGTCTCGGGTGATACAGTCATCCTATTTGGTGATGCACCCATGCCACCTACCTGGCAGGCAGTCGTACCAAGAGCATACCTGGTGCAATCGGTGCTGGGCACAAACACTTGCTGCGCCTCAAACAGAGAGGGGTCGAAGCCTGGAACAGTCAGCTGCCGGTGCACCTGGTGACAACAGAGGTACACGAACACAACACATACATGCATGTGCTGAGGCAACCAGTCAACTGGCGATGCACCTGGCGAGGTGAGGTGACAGCAGAGGTACACGAACACAAGACATACATGAACCATGCGTGCGCTCAGGCAAACATTCAGCTGGTGATCAACCCGCCAAATGCCAGCCATGGATGTGAGAGAGTGAGGCATCCAAACACAGCTATTAGGAGCTTTGAGACAACCCTAAACGTGAGTGAGGCATCCAAACACAGGTAGTAGGAGCTTTGAGACGTCTCAAAACGTGAGTGAGGCATCCAAACGCAGCTAGTAGGAGCTTTGAGACGTCTCAAAACGTGAGTGAGGCATCCAAACGCAGGTAGTAGTAGGAGCTTTGAGACGTCTCAAAACGCAGGACACACACATGCCATGTCAAACACACATGCCATGTCACACACACACCCAGGAGAGCACGCACAACTTGTGCGTGAGTTGAGTTCATCGCACATGCAGAACACACCCCTGGCTGGCCGGCTGGGCAGAGGAGCAGCGAGGTCGCGGCGGTACACACATGGTGCTGTGGGACGTCTCATCTCAAAACATGGTGCGACGGCCGAGGAAGCAAGGCGTGAAGCCTCGCACACATGCATCGCGCACCGCAATGGAGCAAGGGAGACGAAAGACGCTTGTATGCATCGCACATCATCAAGGCAAGCACGCACCTCGGGGTTCCAGGTAAGGCTCGGTGAGGTCGCAGCGGGACACGGTGGCGGGGGGAACGGAAGAAGGAAGGAGAGCTAAGCCCTCTTCCCGTGAATCACATACCAGTGCAAGCACACACATCAGTGCAAGCACACACATCAGTGCAAGCACACACATCAGTGCAAGCACACACATCAGTGCAAGCACACACATCAGTGCAAGCACACACATCAGTGCAAGCACACACATCAGTGCAAGCACACACATCAGTGCAAGCACACACATCAGTGCAAGCACACACATCAGTGCAAGCACACACATCAGTGCAAGCACACACATCAGTGCAAGCACACACATCAGTGCAAGCACACACATCAGTGCAAGCACACACATCAGTGCAAGCACACACATCAGTGCAAGCACACACATCAGTGCAAGCACACACATCAGTGCAAGCACACACATCAGTGCAAGCACACACATCAGTGCAAGCACACACATCAGTGCAAGCACACACATCAGTGCAAGCACACACATCAGTGCAAGCACACACATCAGTGCAAGCACACACATCAGGTTCCGGGTGAGGTTCGGTGAGGTCGCAGCGGGACACGGTGGGGGGGGAGAGGAAGCTCACAAGGGAGAAGCACGATCGCCTCGTTCCAGAAATTACACACCAGTACAAGCACGCACCTCTGGCTCAAGGTGAGGGGTGGTGAGGTCACAGCGGTACATGGCGTGGCCGGAGAGGCAGCTCTTAAAGCCGTGGGTGGAATTACAGCCTTAGCTCTTTCCAGGCACAACATATAAGTGCAGGTGCCAGCACACACCTCCAGGTTCAGGTTGAGGGGCGGTGAGGTCACAGCGGTACACGGTGCGGGGGGGAAGAGGAAGTAAGTAAGAAGATATAAGTCGAGTTTTGAGACGTCTCAAAACTCAACCTTATCACGTGACTTGGCTTGGCCCTCTTTCCATCGATCACACACCAGCACAAGCACGCACCTCTGGTTCAGGTTGAGGGTTGGTGAGGCTGCAGTGGTACACGCGAGGTCAGACATGTCTCAGGGAGCTCACTGAGACATGTCTGAACGGCACCTTTGGTTCAGGTTGAGGGTTGGTGAGGCTGCAGCGGTACACAGTACTGGGTGAGAGGAAGCTTTCAGCAAGATGGCGGAAGGCTTACAGGTCTTTCCATGCAGGTCTTTCCATACAGGTCTTTCCATGCAGGTCTTTCCATACAGGTCTTTCCATGCAGGTCTTTCCATACAGGTCTTTCCATGCAGGTCTTTCCATACAGATCTTTCCATACAGGTCTTTCCATACAGGTCTTTCCATACAGGTCTTTCCATACAGGTCTTTCCATACAGGTCTTTCCATACAGGTCATTCCATACAGGTCTTTCCATACAGGTCTTTCCATACAGGTCTTTCCATGCAGGTCTTTCCATACAGGTCTTTCCATACAGGTCTTTCCATACAGGTCTTTCCATACAGGTCTTTCCATACAGGTCTTTCCATACAGGTCTTTCCATACAGGTCTTTCCATACAGGTCTTTCCATACAGGTCTTTCCATACAGGTCTTTCCATACAGGTCTTTCCATACAGGTCTTTCCATGCAGGTCTTTCCATGCAGGTCTTTCCATACAGGTCTTTCCATACAGGTCTTTCCATACAGGTCTTTCCATACAGGTCTTTCCATGCAGGTCTTTCCATGCAGGTCTTTCCATACAGGTCTTTCCATACAGGTCTTTCCATACAGGTCTTTCCATGCAGGTCTTTCCATGCAGGTCTTTCCATACAGGTCTTTCCATACAGGTCTTTCCATGCAGGTCTTTCCATACAGGTCTTTCCATACAGGTCTTTCCATACAGGTCTTTCCATACAGGTCTTTCCATACAGGTCTTTCCATACAGGTCTTTCCATACAGGTCTTTCCATACAGGTCTTTCCATACAGGTCTTTCCATACAGGTCTTTCCATACAGGTCTTTCCATACAGGTCTTTCCATACAGGTATTTCCATGCAGGTCTTTCCATACAGGTCTTTCCATACAGGTCTTTCCATGCAGGTCTTTCCATACAGGTCTTTCCATGCAGGTCTTTCCATACAGGTCTTTCCATACAGGTCTTTCCATACAGGTCTTTCCATACAGGTCTTTCCATGCAGGTCTTTCCATACAGGTCTTTCCATACAGGTCTTTCCATGCAGGTCTTTCCATACAGGTCTTTCCATACAGGTCTTTCCATACAGGTCTTTCCATGCAGGTCTTTCCATACAGGTCTTTCCATACAGGTCTTTCCATACAGGTCTTTCCATGCAGGTCTTTCCATGCAGGTCTTTCCATACAGGTCTTTCCATGCAGGTCTTTCCATACAGGTCTTTCCATGCAGGTCTTTCCATGCAGGTCTTTCCATACAGGTCTTTCCATACAGGTCTTTCCATACAGGTCTTTCCATACAGGTCTTTCCATACAGGTCTTTCCATACAGGTCTTTCCATACAGGTCTTTCGATGCAACACGCATCAAGTCAAGCACACCTCTGGTTCAGGTCGAGGGCTCGTGAGGTCGCAGCGGTAAATGGTGCGGGGGGAGAGAAAGCTCTCAAAGGAAAAGAAAGCCTCGCTGTCGCTGCGACGACCCGAGGAGGAGGAGACAGCACCCATGGGGAGCGGCACTGTGGAGAGCAGCGAGCCATCGGTAAGGGAGCGGATCTGCAAGGGAAAAGGGAGAAAAGGGTGAAACTGGCTTATAAATCCCCCTGCTACCCGAGGAGGAGGAGATGGAGCCCATGGGGAGGGGCACGGTGGAGAGCAGAGAGCCGTCAGTGAGGGAGCGCATTTGGAATGGGGAGAGAACGAGGCAAGAAACACATTATTCAGGCAGACAACAAGGAAGAGAGTGCATTCATGGGGAGCAGCAAAGGAGAGGAGGGAGCTTTTGGTGAGGGGAAAGGGACCCTTCAATTTGGAATGGAGAGATGCACGTATGCCTGGAGCTTCTTGTGTTGTGTCCCTACTTTTGCCCCTCTTAAAAAGACGCCTACATACCTGGAGCACGTTTATCACATGGCGCATGTTGCCTCGCAGCAGCAGCAGCATGCATGCATGCAGTGGCTAATGTTCTAGACGCATCAAGGATTGTCTCGGCGCACGACTGCATACCTCGAGCACGACTGCATACCTCGAGCACGACTGCATACCTCGAGCACGTTTTTCACATCGCGCATGTAGCACAGCAGCAGCATGTCCTGGTTCACACACCGGATCCACTCCAACACATCCCCTTCCGCCTCCCCTACCGCCACTGCCATTGCCTTGCCATCCCGTCCCAGCACATACCTCGAGCACGTTCTAAACATCGCGCATGCAGCACAGCAACCACATGTCCTGGTCAAGATGCTTCTAGATGCCTCGAACATTGTCCCAGTGCGTAAATGCATACCTCTAGCACGTTTTTCACATCGTGCATGTAGCAGAGCAGCAGCATGTCCTGGTTCACACACCGGATCCACTCCAACACATCCCCCTCCGCCTCCCCTACTACCTCCTCCCACCTCCCATCCTCTTCCTCCCCCTTCTCCCCCTCCTTCCTCTTCTGTGTGCCCTCTGCACCCCCCAATCCATCCTCCCCCTCCTCGTGTCCACCGTCCGACGCAGTACCCTCTGGCAGAATAATCCGCACCACCTTGCCACGTGGCGCGTCCTTATTGGTGTGGAAGGTGAATGCAGGGCCGTCATTGGTCACGTAGCTGAACATGCCGTCAAAGCGGCCTCTAAGGGCGATGGCAGGCAGGCGCACAGAACCACCATCACCATGCCCACCATCCCCACCACTGCCACCATCCCCACCATCCCTATCATCCCTATCATCTCTTTTAAAGACCACAGTCTCTTCATTCTCATTGCTTGCATCCTTCTCAACGCTCTCATCTTCCTTATCCTTCCTATTGTTCCCATCAGATGCAGAGGCAGCGTGCACTGGAGTGCCATCCAGGCATCCACGTGGCAGCTGCTGGAGGTTGATGACGTGGACAAGATTGTCGTGGTCGCAGTTCGCCCACGTGCTTATAATGAGGTACTGTCAGGTGGGGAACGGGAAGTTTGGAGGACATGCGAGACATAGTGGAGAGGAAAATGGGAAGCTATGTGGGGATGAATGGAAAGAACACTGGAGGAGTGAAGATGCAAGCGGGAGCAGATGGGTTGTGAGGAAAGAGGTGGAGGAGGGATTTGGTGTGTATTTAGAGGAAAGCTGAACGAGTGGAGCGTGCACAGTTCAAGAGGCAACCCCTTGCCCCCTCACCACTATGAGCAAACTAGAGTCGACAAATGAAAGAAGTGGCTGGCAAACCGAAGCCTGGGTTGAGCTGTCAACACATCAGTCACTCGAAGGCATGCGAGGGAGGTTGAGAGGGCTGAGAGGGAGAGAGAAGGAGAGCACATGCCTGACCGTCGTCGCTGACTTCTGAGCCAAACATCCACATGGGATGGGCCTTGCTCTCCCAGCACAGCGCATCGTCAGCCTGCGCCTGCCCCAACACGTGGTAGTACACCCGCTGATTCACCACCCTCGCCGTCCCTGCTGCCCCACCCTCCGCATCCACTCCTGCCAGTGGGAGCAAGGCAGGGACGGGGGAGAGAGGAGAGATGAGACCTGCTCTCCCACCACAGCGCATCGTCAGCCTGCGCCTGCCCCAGCACGTGGTAGTACACCCGCTGATTCACCACCCTCGCCATCCCTGCTGCCGCCCCCTCCGCATCCACTCCTGTCGCCGGGGTCAAGGCAGAGAGGGGAAGACACGGGGGGATGAACGAAAGAGGGTGACACCAGCGGCAGATCAGATTGGGAGTTGGATCTTTCGGTGTTCTCGAGATTGAAGGCAGGGAAGAGAGATAGTGAAGTTGAGAGGAAGGCTGGTTTCACGCAACCGTAAGTGTGCTGCTTCCAAGTGAAGTGGCGCAATAAAACTCGTGGGAGATCAGAATCAACCCTCGTTGCACTGAATTGATGAAAGTGAGCATAACCCTCATTACCGTCGTATCGGTTGTAGAAGAAGCCTCTGTTGTCGTGCGTCCACGCAATAGACGTGTAATTCACGTTCTTGAGCTCGTCCGGCTCGTTCTCCTTAGTCCCCACGCGCAGCACCTTAATGGCGTTCCAATCGCTGCCGCTCTGGCTCACAGCGTACGCCAGGTACTCGCCATCCTCGCTAAAAGCGTACGTGCCAAGAGATACAGTCCCATCGTCGCTCCACGTGTTCGGATCCAGCAGAACCTCGGCTTCGTCTTCCAGCGATTTCTGCTCGGAAAAATGAAAAGTATGACGACAACAATGCAGGATCAAAACTGGCACTTTTACGAAAACGTTGTACCGTGCTGATATGACGGTCAGAACTACTGGCGTATAGCTGATAACGAACCTGCACGTAGAGAACACTATGTGCTTGGAGCCCAGTATTGTGAAAGTAGAAGTAGTTGCTGCCGTACTTGAACGGACAACCATACTCAGGAGAATCCAACAGATCCGTCAGTCGCTCCTTCAGCTTCTCCCTACCCTTTATCCCCGATAGAATCTCATTCGTTACTGCATTTTGCGCTGTGACGAAATCGCGAGTTTCCTGGCTATCGGGGTCTTCCATCCAACGGTACGGATCGTGAATCTTCGTCCCGTGATAATCGTCGACGACAGATTCATCGCGACGAGCCTTAGGGTAGTCGATCGCGGTGGAAGCCATGAACCTGCGAATTTGTGAGCTACGCGCAAGCGTAAGTGAACTAGGCTTTGGTAAGCTTTGCTGGGACGCCTTTTTGAGCCCGAATTGAATGCCTGCTGATGATGAGACCAACTTCAAGGCCATAGTAAGTTGCCTTGCCGCGCCCAAAGCACTGCACAAGTCTGTCTTGCAGCAAGAGTGCATGGATGTTGACGAGAATTGAGAGGGTGAAACGCCCCATAATTCCCAGATGAACCCATTAACGTGGAATATTTTTCGAGAATGTGTGTGCACCCAGAGGAAAAACCTGCTCAAAAGTTGTTTCTAAAGAAAACTGTATTGAATTCGTCTCAAAAGCTTTGTGTTTTTTGCTATCTCGTGCCAGACATTTACTTGTCTTCCTGTAATGTTTCACATGCATTTTTCTCAGTTGTGCATCTGTCACATACGTTCGTGGAAGTTTCTTTTCGCCAAACCAAAGCATTCCCAGAGAGAGTTTTCGAAATGTGGTGTCAGACTTCCCGCCAAACCTATCTGCCAATCAGGTGTAATCCTTTTCCTTCCTTACACTTCCCGCCCACATTCGAAGCCACTCCCTCGAAATCTCGTTTTTGGTGATCGTCACTCGCTCCAGTTCTACCCAGATCATTTCTCTGAAGTTGAAGCTGAATGCATTAGGTAGCTAGCTGAAGCCTATCTCGCTGTTTGTCCGTTTTCGATTCATGCAGTAACGATCCTGTTATCGTGAAGCAGTTACATGTGTCTGCGTGACGAACGCCTGCGTGACCGTGATTGCGTTTCATGGAAGACAAACCTTCGTGTCCAGAGCTGTTTGAGTAGCTATCAGACGTTTTTTTTCACCCTGTCGTTCCGTTTCAAATCGATTAAAGTAGGAATATGGTCAGAAACAAGCCTCCACGGTCGAGTGCGCTAAGCATGGGTTCGCCAAAAGTTTCCGAGTCCACAGCAATTCTTCCATCACAGTCCGTTCCCGGCGACCGAGAAGAGTCTTACCGTGCGGATGTCACAAATGTCGATTCCATTTCCAATTCCGGCGACCCCAAAGTGTTAATCTGGCAGTCGTCGCAATCCCTTGACCTCAGCGATCGTCCATTGAAGGTCTACAACCGCCGTCCCTTGGCGTCCAGACGAGCTCAGTCAAGACGGCCACGAGGACCCATAACTCCTCGGTACTGTGCATCTATGCCGCGAGCAATTCCATGATGGAGTAACATCTCACCAGCTGATGATTTTTTTGTTTTGTAGTGAAACTTCGTCGTATGCAAGGTTTTTCTAGCTCTTTTACTGGATAACCTGTGTAGCCATCCCCGCACAGACGTCTCATGCCTCAGATGACGCATCGCCTTTCGCTCATCGTTACCTCAGGTCCCATCTTCCTATCGCCGACTCTCCTTAACAGGATGAGGCATGACCAACAGCAGACGCCCACCCGATTCACCGCTTGAACGCGCGTTTCCCTTCCTCTGCTTTATGTATGCTTCTTCTGCCTTCCATTCCGTTGTATTCTTTCGCCTGTAATCTTCACCAGATCGCCCGCCATTTCAGAATCCAATAGCAGCAGTCAGGCATGCGACTCGGTTCTGCGCGGTGGGAGGAGGCGCGTGTCCGCCTTCGGATCCTCCCTCTCCTGCAGGTGAACTTTAGTAGTCGACGAAATGCTCTTGTTACTCCGCTTGTGTGTCAAAGCTTGTCACTCTTGTTGGGTTAATACTAGAGCTCGGCTCAGAAGCCTGTACTAGAAAAGCCTTCG